CTCTCACACTGAATCTTCCCACCCAAATATTCCTGTTAAATAGAGTCACTGGCAGTCATCCAGGAAATCACAGTAACCTTCCCAACATCTAAACGTACTAATTCAAAGTTAATTTTGTGCTGTTTTAGCCTTGAAGACAGCTGAAAATGTGGCAGAGGCCATCATGCAGCGATGTTAATATGGATCCTGGTCTGTGAGGATGAAAATGTGTGTTCTCATTGTGTTAGTAACATGTGCGGGCCAAACATCAACTCCACTGTTTTAAAGACACCTTTCTGCACATTAAACCAGTAGAAGTGGAAAGATTTTATTCCTGTTGCTTGTGTTTACTTACACTGTTTCCTGTGTTTATTCTTTGTGGATCATATCATTTACCATAACCTACAAAAATGTAATGTGTGAGTAAGAATGCCTGAGGCTTCATATACACTGAGCGTGTGTGTATAATATATTATTAGCATCCTCTGCGTTAGCCTTTGTTGGGATCTCTGGTAGGAGTAGAGTCTAAAAATAGTCATCTAAATGTGATTATGAGAGAAAACATGTAACAATGGGTCTTACTTGTGTGTGCCCATGCCATACTTTATTCAATAAAAAAGTAATGTAGCTACAATGTGGCACACTTGTGCAATGTCAGTCAATTTCCAATGGCATGGTAATGTGTTTTAGTTATACAAAGCATGCTTGTACATTAAACACTTAATAAATACAGTTATTCTTCTTTAACACTTAAAAAAATCAACTTCTGCAATTTTCAGGGGCAAATTGTAAAATAAGTCTCAAAAACACAATGCGGTGGAGGAAGGGGTGGACACCAGTATTCTCCAGACCAAACGCACTCAGAAATACAAAACTGTTTTACAAACAATTAGGTAGACGGCATGCATACAAAAATAGACAACTATTCTGATCATTCCTTTGTATATTACAATACTAGTTCATTATTGCCCAGCGTTATATTCTTGTGCTCCTGTGTCGAGGAATAGCTTGCTCTCTATATCTTCTCTCATCTCCCTTGGAAAAGTACAATGTACATTCACAATCACTGAGGCACAGCACTTGATTTACAATTTGTATAAGTACCCCAAAACATTGTGTGGTCACTGTTGTTGTAGTCATGTAATATTAAATATATATATATATATATTTATATACTGTATATAAGCTTAACACCCTGTACAAACATGTCTTTTAATCATGCATAACAAAATGTTGTGTACATCCAAAATAGCTTTTAATTCCTCCGTCAGACCTTATTGAGCGGCTGTACACAACTCCAGCATAATGTTTAAAACGATTCAACAGAAGCGAAGGGAGGCGGCCATGCATGTAAGCAATGAGTTACAAAGCTTTCCGACAAGTCTTTGACACAGACGCAAAGTGCTTATTTGCCATAAACCCTGTTATTTAATCAAGACAGACATCTTTTTTTTGCTTTTCGTAACAGCCCTCATCTTTTAAAGTGGAGAGGGACACCAAGTCTTTGTGCTCCTGCACGGTGAGCGAGGTTGAAGATGCTGTAGAAGGAAAGGATGATGTAGAGCCTAGCAGGTAAAGGGAGGTTTTTGGTGCCTTTAATCTCCAGCAAAGGGATGGCAGCTGTGTGAGGCACAGGCAGAGGCAATACGTTTGAGGTTAAATCACTGATCCTCACAGTCTACCCTAAAAAATCCAGTGACTGGTTTGTGTCTTGAAGAGGGACATTCTGTAAGGAAGTAAAGGTATTAATTAGTGATTAGCCAATAGAGCACACATGTATGAGGAGACACAAATGCTCAATATATGTTACCTTAAGTGAGCTGTGGAGGATCCGGAGGCGATGAAGCTTGTCATTGAGCAGGGGGTCATTGACTCGTCGGACAAATGAGCGCTTGTACTCCAGGCGGCTGGCTGATCTGTGGTCAGCTGAGGTGGACAGACTGGTCTGCTCCAGAGCCCGGTACAAATCTCCCAGAGAGTCTGCCTGCATCCTGCAGTCTCGTCCATGGCCTTGCAAGAAGAACAAGCAATCATCAACAGATATGTGACATTAAACTGAACTCAAGGATGTGATTTTTTTTTAAAGCAAAATACAAGTTAACAGCCTGCCTACAGAGAAGTTTTCTAAATCATCACCTTCTTAAACTAAACAAGGCGATAATTTAGAAAAAAATCTGTATATGCAGGCTGTTAACTTGTATTTTGCTGTTAAAAAAGGAATCTCATCCACCATATGAAGCTGTAGCTGTAGCTGTAACTGTGACTGCAGTCTCTCTCTGCCCACACATTCACACCAGCATAGTGTGTGCTACCTGCCCAGCGTGAAATGGCAGAGAGCCGAAGCTAACAAGTGACTTGTTAAGGGACTCAAAAATATTGCAAGTTGACACCAAGGTCAGTGGATCTTGAGTTACCAGGACATTTTTCTGGAAAGAAATGTTGTTGTTGAGCTGTTTCATGCTGTGAGTAATACAAATAAAACTGCATTCATCCCCCGGGGCTGTTTTAGTGGTGTGAGATACGTAAAGTACTAATATTACACTGTTAAAATACTTCAAGTGTGACATGTCAGTATAATAAGGAAACGATTATTTTAAATATAAAAGTATAATCACTATAGACAAATGTACTTGTGATTACTCATGCATAATGTCTTATGCTAGTTAAGGTGGAGCTCATCTTACAATATTTTCTAAAGGGCTACAACTAATGATTATTTTCATTATGGAATAATATGACAATTAATTTCTCAATACATGTATGATATGTCTTTTTGGTTTGTAAAGCTTCAGAAAATAGTGAGAAATGTCGTCACAATGACCTCGAACCAAAGTGACATCTTTAGATTACTTGTTTTGTGGGACTAACATTTGTGTAGTTTCAAGTTGTGTAATTTCACAAGTAAAGGCAGCAAATTCTCACATTTGAGAAGCTTTATTTATTTAAATAGTTCAAATTCTCTGTTGAGCGACTAATCAATTTATTGATGAATTATTTCAGCTCTAATGATACTACATGCAGCTGGGTAGTTTCATCAATAAGTATTTACAAGCTCTTCAAAATGTTTTGTATGTAAAATCTTATTTGGTGCCACTGTCAAATAAATGCAGTGGGGAAAAAGAGTATTTACCCCTTAACTGCACAACAGTGGAGTCGAAATAAATATAATAAAATGGTAATACTCAAGTAAAGTACAAACACCTTCAGCATCCTCTTATATACATTAGTTTAGTAAATGTGCTAAGTTAACATGAGTGGTTGCATAGCACTGCTTGCAAAAGATGTAAGACTGAAACTAGAGACTGAAACTATCTGCAAATTAAAATATGTGTATTTGTAATTTAATTGACCCTTTAGTTTAATCACAGTCAGCGCTATTTTAGTTTGTATGTTTTATTAGTTTGTATTTATATTAATTTTACAATCTTTGATTTCAGTTCAGTTTAGTTTTGGTTATTTTGTAGCGTGGGTTTGCTCATTTCACTTCATTTTCATTGCTTAAAAATGTCTATTTTTAGTTCAATTTTTCTGAGTTTTAGTCATTTTTTATTGTTATTATTGACAAGATGGGGGTTAATTGCCAGGGGAAAGATTTAAGAAGTTCAGAATTGATATTTCAAAACAAATACAACAATTTGTGAAGGAAATTGACTCCCAGTTACACAGTCTCAATAAACATACGCACCAGTGCCTCCTCGTGTTTTTTGTGTTGACAACTAAATCAAAACTAAATTTCCTGAATGATTTTATTTTATTTGAGTTTGATTCGTGAGTACACATTATTGTTTCAGTTAGTTTTCATTATTTTTTAAGGTCTAGTTTTTATTTTTATTCCACTTCACTAAAATGTTTTTTCAAACCTAGTTTTTAGTTTAGTTTTACTTAACTGTAATAAATTTGCTTCTATTGGAAATAAGTCCCAATATATCGAGACACCAGGCTTTGTAAAAAATAAAGATTAATTTAAGCTAATAACAATTTTAAAGATACCAGCTGTAAACATCATACAAAGGAAGTGTCTTTTTTAATTCCTGTTTTAGTCGATAAATATTTTTTTTCTAACTTCATGAGAGTAAACTGTGCTCTCTCCTGTCTAATCAAATAATGTATACATGGTCTTCTTCCTCACAGGATGAACATTTCTGCTCTTTTTTTTAATACATCACTTTGTGGTATGCCTCTTCATCATGGCATCCTCTTCAAGAAAAACACAGCTTGTACATCATTCTAATAAACAACCAGGACGCCTCTTCTCTCCTGTTTACATCCACTGCCCTCTGCTGGCATGATACGAACACTGCACTAGTGCTCTGAATCTGTTTGTCGTCACTCTATTTTGTGTTTTGGAAGCAGGGTGGTACGGTCTGAAGCTTTGGGGCTGTGCTTTGAAATGTATCATGCTTTATTTGCCGCCTGTTTTGTGTTTCTTTCTTGTCTTTACAGGCAGCGGTGGAGAGAGTGAACGGTGGAGCAATAGATAAATGAGGACAAGAAGAAAGGACCCTTAGGCGCGTTTCTTTATCTTGTTCAGAATTCAACATTAACATGGGCTGAAAGGATTCCTCCTCGCTTCACCATTCACACACTGCCGAGAGGCACAATGACATCTCGATCGCGCGAGAGAGAGAGAGAGAAAAAAAGAGAGAGAAAGAGTGAGCGTGAGTGTGTGAGAGAGAGTGGGCTGCCAAGATAAATCACTATCAAATAAGACACTAAATTTCATCTCACTTAGGCAACTGTCCCGGAGGCCTTTGAGGGACGGCAAATGGGCTGGCTTCAAATCCAATCCAATAAAGCAATAATAGTGAGTATTCAACCTCTGACATTTGCTGCCTCTGACTGCCTGTTAGCAGCTTTAATAAAATAACTGGCGACAAATAAGCACACATGCTCACCACTGCAGAAGAAAAGACTGATCTGCGTGTTAAAATGAGCAGGAGAGGCCCCTAAGACTGGAGATTACAAGGTAATCTCAGTTATACTGGTAAATGTGAGTCACCTTGATTCCCTCTAATGGTCTACTGCAGTGGTTCCCAGCCTTGTTTGTGTGATGTGCCCCACGGCCCTGTCAGATTAGCTCAAGTTCTCCGTCAGTGACACCAAACCTAATGTTCCACGAATATTGATTTAGATTGATTTTACACTGGATGTTATTTAACATCCTTATTATATAAAAGTGGATATTGTGAGGCAGATTTTTGTACGAAAGACACAGTGATCCTGAAATTGTCCTTGTGTTGAATTTTCAGTCAAATCTGTACCAGTACCACTTGGAGTGGCAGAAGCTGGACATTTCAACAGTTTATTCATTACTTCTCTGCTCACTTGCAAACTAGTTTTCACGCAGCGCTTGGTGTTAGGGTGCTAGAAGTGACTCAGATTGGTGGGAAGCATGGCCTGTGTCGTTGGTCTATGATGAAAATCAGCCAATTTGTAGTACTGTTTGTGTGTGTGTGTGTGTGTGTTTTCCTCCTGAGCACACAGACGTGGATGCATTTTTTTTTTACCCAATCATAATTTATAATTTGTCAAATTAGCTGAGCTACTTAACATTGCTGTCCAAGTATCCATGACAACCACAGCAGTACCCCCTGGGTTACACGTATGCACAAATGAATAGTCACCATTACGTGTGTGATGTACAGTCGGGTTGCAAACAAAGGTGTGCAGCTCCCCAAAAGTAAAGCCAAACCATCTCTGTCGCCCCCTGCTGGCTGACTGCAGTACAGGTGAATAACCCCATCCCCTCCATGTTAGCAGATGGAACATGAGCCATACAAAAAGATTAAAGTACACGTCAAATACATATTTCCTATGCATCCTATCATGCTGGTGTGTGTTCAATTGTTCATTTACTGATAAGTTTGGTTTTATTAGTTATTTATTACCTAAAACGGGGATTCACATAATGATTGACAGCTGTGTGTGACAATCAGTGGTGTTGTTTGCAGTTGGGTTATATGGGTGTATGGGCGGGAACTTCCGTGGCTCTACTTCATGATCACTACTGCAAATGGTGTCACCAGTGCAAGATGGCAGCGGCCATATGCAAGATATTTTGGTTTCATTTTTGTTCAGTGGGAGGAAGTGGACACACATCGTCCATGTTTATATAAAGTCACTGGTTACAATTAATTTGTCAACCTTGTTTTGATAAATGACTTAAATTGTTGTCAGTTAATTTTCTATAGATCAAGTAAATGATTGGTTGACTGACAGTTTTAGTACCAGTGTGATACATAAATACACAGTATTCTCCAACCTGGTGATAATTTTTCTACGCGTGTGGTTCATGTGAAAAGATGTGAAACAGAGACGGTGTGTGTCTGACCACTGCCTCTGGGCCGGTCCAGCTGGTATTGATGGGGCTCCCTCTGATCCGATGCAGCAGCGGTAGCAGCCAGGATAGCATGAAGCCCGCTGTCCCTGGGTAGCGTGAAGCTGCGGGGTTTCCCTCCCGCGTCTGAATCGATGCTGGACCTGAGGGGCAGAGGCAGGGCCCTGTATTGTTCTTGCAGCAGGCTGCGCTGTGCGGGCAGGGTGGACTGTCTGCGGTACTCCATCGCCAGTTGGTCTCTGTCCTCAGACAGCATGTTCTCCTCCACTGGAAACGTCTGGAGGTAGTGCATCCTCGCATTGCTCTCCATCTGGTCCTGCCACGAGTTCCGGTGGCCGCTCGTCTTCTGCCCAGGGGAGACGCCGTTGTTGCTGCTGCTGCCGTCCTGAGGCTCTGAGTGGAAGTCGTCATGAGAGGAGCGGGACTGGAAGGTGTCAGAGGAGGAGAGGTGGCCACGCTTCGGTTCCAGGTAGGGACTCACCTAAACAATTAGACAATTAGCAAGTGAAAAAGAGAAGTTTCCAGCACATCTATCTACTGAACTACAGGCCGACAGACTCACTGAGGATGCTCTGGGATAGGTGTCATAAGGTGGTGGCGGACTGTCCTGTTTGGACATCGAGGTCATCTCCATGTCCTCGTGATCACTCTCACTCCAGTAATCTGTCATGAATGAACAGACTGGGTCATGTTTCTATTTTTATAGCAGAATCAAAAACTCTTCTGCTCTGTAAATGCAGCATTAGGGACAATGTGGTCACAAACATTTGTCAAAACAAAGCAGTTACACTCAACCAAGCGACCCTACACATTTTCCACTTCAAAATTTCAAATTTTTCCAGATTCAAATTTCCACAAGACCTGAAACAAAGTTAAACAATATAATTTTCACAGTCTGTGCAGCATTGTTTATTCACTGTGTCCTTGAAAACAACAATGAACACAGCTGTGCAGGTTTCCTTATGCAAAGCAGATAGTCTGTGTACTTTTCTGATAATTACATAACCACATTACACATAAATGTGCAAACGAGCTTAATACTTTGTTATTTGTGATGCAATTCAAAGATATTGCCAGGTTTTCTTCCAAACTAATTTGGTTACGAAAGTCCGGATTTGTTCATTTATAAGGCACTTAGGGCAGAGCTGTGTTGCCGGCTCTGACGTACAGGCTTGGAGGCAGCTCTGCGTAGGAGTGTGCGTTCAGTCACACGCCGTACTTTTTGCCTCGCTTTTGACGACATTAAGCTCGCTCTGGCCCGCACTCTCTCACACAGTATTTAGCATTTTGGCTGTGCCAGCTGCCTGCTCCGAATGCAATGCAAAACACTCTGCTTGTGTGATCAATTTATTTTTAGAAATTCTGAATTTCTGAAAAAACAGAATAGAGGCAATGGTCTGGAAACACAGATATTTTTCCATACTTCTCTGGACCTGCAAGTTACTAGAATAAGTTTCCATACTTTTCCATACTGCGTAGGAGCCCTGCACACCTGTGTCAGAATCTTCCCACCTGGACTATAGCTGTGTTGAGACAGACTGAGGTTTGTCTACAGTTAGGGGACTCTATAGTTAAATGTTTGTAGCTGATACAAAAATATTCCACATGTAACATTTATGACAATTTTAGCTTCTGAACTGCTGTGTCAGGTCAGAGAGATCAGCCGTCCCCATGATAGAGTGTTCTGACGCTGCAGTGTAGGCGTGGGTGTGATGTAAGTCCAGGCCTAGCTACTGCTGAGGCTGAATAAGGAGACGGGTGAATCTAAGATGTGAGAACTTCCTGTTAAGTTATCTGGAGGTGTTAAGGGTGTAATTTAGCAACTTGTCTGAGAAGGAAGAAGCCCCCTCTTCATAAAACAAATGACAAACCCGATCTCACCCACCCTCCTTTGCAGGGTTTCTACATAGGCTCCTCTAAATAGCTCAAGGGTAGCTTTGCTTACTTCCTGTCCATTTGTAAGAAGCCAAAGAACACCAGAATATGAAAATAACAAGTGCGTCTTCAGCCCCTAAAATTAGCATTTATATGCAGCACAAAGTAGAGATGCTTGAATCAGATGTGAAGTGCAAGTGAAACCAGGGAGAGGTGTTAAAGAGCCTCAGCCACTGATGTAGAAATAAGATTTATTTAGTCAATTCTCTGTTTGCATGTTTGCAGCATGTATAAGATGGAGCTTATACATGAAATATTAATGCTGCGAACCTGTGATATGGATTTAAATCCTCACCAAGGGAAGACTAGGCAAAAGAATTATCCATGCATTCATCATTACATATTTATATTAAATTTGTCAATCATGGTGTTTTATATAAGTGTCGACCTGCAACAGACGGCGAATCTTTTGCAGCGGCGTGAACAGTCTGTGACTAATCTCACCTTGGTCCTGACGAATTTTCTCCTGCTCGGAGTAGCCTGCCACTGCCATACTCAGACGACTCAGCCACCTGTGGGGTAAAAGAACGGTCATGACGCACAGCAGCTTGACATCCAATAGAACACTGTGTGCTCATGTGCGTGTGTGTGTCCCTGTTTGACCAATCACCTTACAAAACTGCTCTTTTCAAGGAGAGTGGGCAGTGCGGTGGGTAGGGGGATTCAATTTCCGGCCAGCAGGGGTATAAATGAGGTTGCAGATGTGGGACTGGGGGAGTTTACAGCATGACTATCACAGCCTCATTAACTCACCGGGACATGTCGTCTACATTTTCCGCTGCAAAGTAGAAGGTCTTTATCTTCGGATGGCAAGCCTTGAAAGCGCTGAAAGAGAACCGAGGGTATATTTAATCATATGTATGCACAAGAGCGGGGATGTATAGCGCACATTAACATATGAATACACAAGACTGCCGAGGTAAACAGGCGCACGGTCACACATGCACACACGCAGACACACTCAGTAATTCAGACTGACATAAAAACAGCAAGACTTTGCATCATGAGATAAACTGCTCTGCTTATTTTCCAGAGCTGTATGTAAGTCTGAGTCAGTTTCATCAAGAGTGCGTGCAAACACAATCCTGCACCCAGGAGCTGAGTGGCATGATTAAGCGAGATATACGAAGGTAAGCCATGATTATAAAACCCTTATAATGACTTTCACAACATCTGAATTTGCTGCCATTCAACCCATTACTGAACAATAAACCCATTAAATGTGCTAATAGCTATTTGTGACAAGTACAGATTACTGTATACAGAAGCACATCCATTATCTGAACCGTGTTGAACTATGTGGGATTTGCAATTGAATCTTTAAAAGCAAGATTTGTCTTCCTTTAACCAGATCAGATTTAACTTCTCGTGATCTAAGGATCTAAATATTTAGTTTTTCCTAAAAACGTCCATGTCTACTAGCTTTAAAGGTTCCCATGGAGTTTTTTTATTTACTTCCAGTGGTGCTATGGAGCGATCCCTGTTTTGTTTGTATCGTGCACCTGCAGGCACAAAAAAAATCTGCTTTTGGATTTACTTTATGAGGGAGGAAATGCATCAACATTCATACTCAACAAATGATCAGCCCTCCCTCTGGATACTGCCCTCAGATCCAAAACTCACTGATAAAATGTGATCTACACACCTTTTGTTTGACATTTTTAGCCAACTAACTTTTTGTGTTCATATGTGGGTGTGTGCATCTGTCTGTCCGCAGCTAATCTTGCATACTACTGGACCCATCGGCCTAACTGTTTTTTTTTATGCACATTTATGACTGTGTGCAAAACCACCGTTTGGGTTAAGGTGAATCACAAATTTTGAAAAAAATAATTGTATCAACTGCTCTGTTTTACACCGCCATTGACTGCTGATTCCTCACTCTTCTAACCCAGCTAGTAGGTGACGTACATACATGGCGGTCAGGCAAGTGTTGGCGGATTCTTTTGTTGGGATTTTCATTTTGAAGTTGACATTTTACATTGCTGGCGTTTAGCAATTGTTCCTGTCCAGATTTGCATGCCAAGATAAGACAATTGTGGTTTGAATTCATTCATTCAAACAGTCATCAGTGGTTGTTAACGACACTCAATAATGTCAGCCAGCGGCTGAAATGCCTTTGTTATTTAACTCATCGCTTATGGTGGCAATACACTGAGCAAGTTTTTAGACAACATGACAGGCCAGCGTGCTTGCTGTCAGGAATTAATGTACACTGAATACCTTTGTGAATTAATTTAATAATAATTACACAGCGAAAGGCATTTCCAGCAATTAGCTAGGCTAAAAAAAGATCCTAGTTTTGTGCAGGCCACATTTTGACCTTAACTGTGGCTCAAAAAACTGGCATCCATAAAAAAGTTTGGTCCCATTTCATCCACTTCTGTTTTGCACACTGCTGGACATACAGCCCTGCACTCCCTGGTCCTCATTCACAAACCTCCAGACACCCCTGGCAGAGATCTGCACTCCACTGAATGCACTTTTCTAGTTATAGATATTTTTTACCATTATTGCACTATGATAATTTCAGTCCTCTGCATCCACTGTTATTAACACTGCAGCTGCTAGAAGGTTTAATATGCAGAAATGATCAGTTACTGTTTCTAAACAGTAAAGCCAGCAAAAGTGGGAGTAAAAGCCAACCCCAGATTTACTCTTGTTTGGAACGAACTTTGATTGCTTGGCGTTTTATACTTTTTTTTCAGCACTGTGCCCACGGTTTTTGTAGCTTCCTCTGGGATGTGTGCTCCTAATGGCCTGACGCTGGGTGGGACCTTTCTATCAAGTCAAGACCTTACCTGCACGCTGTTACTGGCTGTAGGCGACACACCCAGAAACATCCCAAACATACCAAAATAAGAAGAAAATCACAAAATACAAGCAGACGACATCCTCTGGGGAAAAACCTTGCAGTGGGTATGAGTCTATAAATTGTATTTTAAGAAAGTCCTGCACAGTATATATATTTGATCTGTTTTATCTTCTTATTCATGATCTGAGATTTAAATTAATACCGTATTGAAAATTATAACAAAGCCATAAATGTGCACATGTGCAGTCCTCCTGTCAGCATACTAAAATGTTGCTGGTTGATAGAGTTAGTGCATATTGTTTGTGAGTCAGACGTCCTCTGTAAATTGTCCGTTTTGCATGGTCAGTTCCCTAAATTATTCAATATATATGCCAATGGTTTGCCTGCCAAGAACCAATTTACACAAGGTTACCTCTGTACCGATAATACATTTGTAGGACTGTATCTGAATAAGTAACATGAGTTTCTGCAGTCATCTTTGTATTCAAGAAATTTGTTTCTAGTTTTGTCCAATTTTGAGGCCAAATGAAAAAGCAATGCAAATCTAAGACGCTTGATCCTTGATGTTCAGGTGAAAATTGGTACTTACTACTTCCTTCTGCATTCAGTGGCACGATCAATCTTGAACTCTGGGAGGCTGACAAAGCCCTCGGCCTTCTCATCCTGTGACCAGTAAAAGCAAAGTTAAATCACAGTGCCACATAATGAATGAAGGCTTCATGCTGCGAATTGTTCTTTTGTCAAAAAAAAATCATCATATTCACCTCCTCGTTCATGTACCAGTACAGGCACGTGCCTTTCAGGATGAACCAGTACTTCTTCCACTTCTGAGAAAAATAGGTTTTAGCATCCTTCTTTTTCCACAGCCAGCCCTCACAGTCCCCCTGACCCAAGTCTCGGCAGGAAATCCGCCGCTTGCTGATTGAAGACATGGGACTTCCAGCTGCAGACGGCGGCAGGGGAGCAGAACAGATGAGGGGGTCAGAAAACACTCCTCGAGAAACACCTGCTCCTGTTTGGGTTTGAGTACATTTGAGCGCTCACGTAAAACTCCTTAAACAAATGCCCTTACCTTTACTCTTCTTCTTTGACCTTGACAGCAGTGAGGATCGTTCAAACACCTGCAAATTAAACAAGAATGACATCATGCAGAGGATACCAGTGCTGCTGAACACTTCTACTCCAGCTTATAACAAAAAATTTAGAATTCTCATTGACACAAGGGACTCACATGGTAGAGGGAGGCAGAGTCGGAGCTGGATGTGGACAGGGAGACTTCCATCTGGAGCGCAGGGACGAGCGTGTAATGGGTGGGGCTGCCTCCTCGCTCGGTCTTCCTCCTGTTCTGACTCAGGCTGCGCCCCAGCAGGAAGTCCTCCCCAGGGGTTTTATCTTCACTTGCAAAACGCATCAGGGAATTCTCTGCAGGGACACAACAGAGGCAAATTCAGCGCCACACACACTTGACGGAATTTAACTTCAGAAAATCTATAATTTACATACTAAATGCCCTGAACAGTTCCACCGAATGCATCTGAATCATAGTATGCTGCACCAATTTAGTAATCTCATTTGTCAGTTAAAGGTCCTATGAGTATAATTTAGAGGGATATATTGGCAGACATGGAATATAATATGATAAGTATATGTTCTTCAATCACCAGAAAATATAAATCGTCAGGGTTTTTTTAACCTTAGACTGAGCTATTCATATCGACATAGGGAGCAGTCTTCGTCCACAGAATCTGTCATGTTGCACTGCAATGTTTATACAGTGGCTTGGAACAGACAAACCTAGCACTGGGTCTCAATAGGGCCTTTCGCGATTTCACATGGGCCACCGTAGTTAGCAGCCCCTCCGCGAGGAGCTGAACAGCATTGGAAAAACACTGAATTTTAATGTAAAACTGCTTTATTCAGTGTTTTTACCCGTTTAAATCACCAGTTCTGTTTGTTTCGGAGAGGAGGAGACCTCTGCGGATAATTCGGCTCCTGGTAAAAACCTCCTGAATGTCTGGATCTTCAGTTATTAGAGGAAAAAGGTTAGCTAACATTAACAGGTGCAGGGCTAGCGGCCCATCTGCGACAAGCTGAGCAGCTTACAAGAAACAATGATTTTTAATGTGGAACTGCTTTATTCAGTGTTTTTACTAGTATAAATCACCTGGTCCGACCTTTGTGAATAATTTGGCTTCCGATCATAATCTCCTGAACCATAGACTGTATAATAAAAATGGATGACATGACAGCTTCCCAAAAGTGAAGCCAAAACATCTCATTTGCTCCCTGGTGGCTGGCTGCAGTACAGGTCATAAAGCCCGCCACCTCCCATGTTAGCAGATGCAACATGGGCCAAACTAAAACTCAAAGTACAAGTCAAATAAATTTTTCCCAAAGATGGTTTCTGTCATTTTCGGTAGTTCTTATCACGCTGATGTATATTCAGATGTTCGTAACTCAATACTGGTAGACATCGCTACTGCAAAGACTCTGGCTTCAAATGTTGTCACAAGGGCAAGATGGCAGCAGTTGTTTCTGGGACATTATGGCTTCATTTTTGTACAGTGGGTGAGGTCGAGGTGCGTCATCCATCTTTATTTCCGGCTGATGTCCTGAATAATCACCACTAAAAGAATCCTCAGGAGCTTGGCAATCCTCACCACTAGATGCCACCAAGTGTTACACACTGCTGCTTTAACTTAAGTAATTTTGCATCTAGATTATTGATTTTAACCAAGTATTAGTTGCTACAACAGGAAATGTCACAAAACCGATCAAACCTTTTTATATAATCGACTGTAAGGCCAGTCAGTCGCCTTTAACGATCTCTCTGTCTGAGATCAGTGAATGCTGACACTTCAAAACACTACCTACAGATGAAGGCTGTTGTCAGGCAGGAAGCCCTCCAAACTTCCAAATACTGTCTCTTGTAGATAAATATAGCTCCACCACGTTTTTTTGAAAAGCCCAAAGGAGCAACATATCACCACCATCCCCAGAGGAAACAAACACATCACTCAAGTCTTTCTTTGAGACTGAAATAAAGCAATTCAGTCTCCTCCCACTCCATTTACCACCTAGCTCGACAGTCACCAACAAAATGTGAAAATCTCAGGATATATTTCTACAGTTGCCAAAGCAACAGTGTACTTTTTATATCCAAACACAGAGAAACGGCAAAGCTGAGAGCGAGAAAGGGAGGGATGAAGAAGGGAAAAAAGGAGCAGTGATAGATTGTGAACACATGGAGGAGATCGAGGCACGAACTGATATCCAGCATGTTATCAGTTTTGACAGGCCAGCTCATCCTTCTACTTTTTGGCTGGGAGATCTGAGAGGGTGAGGATATTATGAGATATCCACCCACTCACCTCAGCTCCCTCTGTCCCTCTCTGTCTCCCTCCTTTCTCTTCCTCCCTTTCTTTTTCTCTCTCCCACTGCCTCCCACTCACCTCTCCTGCTCTCCCTCTTCAGCTTGGCCAGGTCTTCGTTGTCTCCCACCCAGTTGTATTCCACCGGCATTGAGATGGGCCTCAGCCTGCCTGCAGCAAGGAGGCGCACGGAACGTCAATATCACACAGCTGCCCACACACACATCAAACCACCGCAGACGTCTTAAAAAACATCTCAAAAGCATACAGACGTCACATTTGCAGGGTTTTGAGCTCTTGGCTCTCACGATTACAGCAGCACGTCTTCAGACGAGGCAGAGGTCTTACCATAGGTGGGAGTGCTCCCCCTGCGGACTGATGACACCTCTTGATTCTGGTCGTACTCGTAACAGTACAGTATAGAATCTTCCTCCACCAGAGGAAATCGCCGCCGACACTCCTGGTCCAGGTAGGAGTTTGGTGACTCAGATCCCTCTGCGACATGGCCATCTGATTGAGGATCGTCACCCGACAGATTTCCTTTGTCATCTCTATGGTAACGGAAAACAGGAGGTATTTTTATTGTCAGTAAAGACCCAGACTAAAATTAGACAAAAGAAACAATGCCGCCATCAGAATGTACTGTAAGGTGAAAACATCTTCACATGCAAACTGCCAAAATCAACCACAATTTTAGTTTAAAGGAAAAGGCCAGCGATATCCTATATCTTTGTAGTTGTCAACAAATCCCATAAAAAGCTCAGAACCAACAATGTGTTAGCCCATCTATACTTTCCCACCTCTCCAGCCTGTCTGTGGCCCTCAGCCCCGAGCTCCTTCGTTAACAGTTAGAGGAGATCGCAGATATATACTAAATAATCCAGAAGTCATTAGTGTATTTGTTGGCGACTATTTTCTGCTGCAGATTAATACACATTTGGTGCCCTGGTGAGTGTTCACAGCACAGTGTATTTGGTGTATGTGTACTGACTCAAAATAAAATACAGTGTCCATATTTAGGGTCATAAAGGAAGATGTCACCCAATGCAGCTGTGTGACTCACGGATGTATTTATAATAGCTGAGCAGTTTATTGGGTTTCTTGGTCTTTTCATGGGATTTGTTGAGAGAATATTACCAGACCTTTCCTGGAGGTTACAGCAAGTGAAGCTATAGCCACACTGGCAGCGCAACACAACGGCATTGGCGTGGAGAGGTGGGTGCCGAGAGTGCTGTGCACCCCCTGTTGAGAAGGGTTGCAACAACCCAGTCTGTAAATAGTTGGCTATTTTACCATAACTATCTGAATATTTATTTTAAATTTTTACTGCAAAAGGTTCTTGTCAGAAAATAGAAAAGATGTTTAAAATGCACAAATGTAATTAATTCATCCGATCTGAAGACAGTGCAGCCAACTTGGCGACTTTCTTGCTAGACGTAGCGACTCTTCAGACCCTCTTAACTGCTTGAAAAATATTTCACTCCCATGCATAAGTAATCACAGTCCACAGCTCTTCCGCTATCAGCCCCCCCCCACTCTCTTCTTGTGCCGAGCAGTAGGTGTGGGACAGGCAGGAGGAGAGGAGACACTGCTCGTCATGGAAGATCAGTTCCTATGTTTACTGTGACACTCTCACTGTCTGGATTGGAAGTGACAGAGCTCTCATGCCATTAAAATGTTTTATTGAGGATTCTTCTACTGAATCTAATCCAGCAAAGTTTTAATGCTTCCATTAATGCGCAATGACGTCACCAATACGCAAACAAGCACATGATGGCATGCGGCTACCTTTTGGGTGAGTTATTTCTGGCTACTTTGATCTGAATGGAGCTGGCAGCACTGTCTGATGTGACAACGTCACCACGTCAAGTGAGGTAAAAGTGCAAAGGTCGGGGTCAGCTAAAGAGAGATTTGTCGTAGCAAGAGTGTGGCTAATCAATAGCGCTGACAGGCTGACAGTTATGAAGCTGCTTTTTAAATCCATATAATTAGGCCACTGGGACATGAAGGACTTCCATATGATTTGCTCAAGGGACATGATGTAAGTGGTTTCAGCAAAGCGACAACTGGATGTCTGACACTATTTAAAATAAAATATTAGATATGATGGCACATGCAGTTCAGACAGAAATTGAGTCTGAAGCAAAAGAGCGCACACTGAAGTGGAGGAGCAACAGTTGGATCTGACTGAGAAGCGGAGGACACTGTCAGTAGACAGCCTGTCACTCAAAGCAGCCAGCCCTTTATGATGCGTAACTTTAGCCTAAATAATAGGCTATGTAAACGTATGAAGAAAATTCACACCCTGTACAACTGTCATGAATGTTAAAAATTAATCATGGGGGCGTCGGTAGCGTAGCGCCCCATATACAGAGGTGATGCCTCGCTGCAGCGGTTGCGGGTTCAACTCCGGCTTGTGACCATTTGCTGCATGTCATCCCCCCACTCTCTCTCACTCCCCCATTTCACTCTCTCCTGTCAGTTAAAGGCAAAAAGCCCGAAAAAATAATCTTTAAAAAAAAAAAACTATGGAGACCAAAACCATTTTTGCACCAGGGGATTAACATGTTTATTTCTGTGGTAAATTCGGGCATTTTAACATGGAGGTCTCAGGGGAGTGACTCGCTCCCAGAGCCAGCCTCAAGTGGCCATTTAAAGAACTGCAGTTGCTGGAACTGCCATGTTGACTTGCCCCTGAGGTTGCCATTTAAAATCACTGCTAGTGGTCAAAAATGCCACATAGTAACTTTATTTAGTAAAGCAGGTACCACTGGTGAACTGTGTGTTTGATGTGTAAGTGTGTCTTCACCTGGGGGTGTAGGGCTCTGCTGGAGGAGGTGGGATGTAGAGGTCCTGCAGGGCACAGCTACTCCTCCTGGATGGAGTGCTTAAAGTGCTGGTGGGCGTGGCGACACTGCTGCTGGGGCTCTGAGGGAAGATTGGCTGTGTGTGAGTGAATGTGTGTGTATGTGCGAGCGTGTGCGAAAGAGAGAGAGAGACAGGCAGACAGGGAGAGAGAGAGAGGGAGAGGAACAGTTACAGAGATTGACACATAGAAAATTTGGAGTTCACAGCAGTCCAGTCAGTTAGTCAGTCAGGGACCATTTGTTCGGTTCAGGCTGTGCTGCTGAGCATCTCAAGCGTGAAATGAGCAGTGTACTGTACGTTTCTGATGCTCCAGTTCTAACTAGTGCGCACAAGAAGACGGGTGTGCAGTCTAGTTGTCCCTCTCATTCAGGTCAAGGAAAATCTGGTCATAGCCTACATAGTCTATTAAACAGTACATGGAGATGGATTGCTCCTTGTTTATTTGCCTCAGTGACGAAATATGTATCTAATATCTTTTTAATTATCTTCTTGTCACATTTATGATATCATAATAGGAAGCTGCAAAATCATCAGTTTAACTTGAACAGTCAGAGAGATGTAATCCAATCACAAGACGCCTGTTTTGCAGTGATAAAACATGGACTTCCAAAAAACACTTGAGAGCCTGTTAAATGAGAACGAAGTGAAAATCTTTTAACAAAAGAATACTAATTTGTCACTGCTCAAACTATGCTAATATGTTGCGTAACTCACAGCTGACTAATATCAGAGATGTATTATCGGGAGATGTGCTCCATCATAAGACCATTATGTGTGTCAGAGCTACTGCAGGGCTTCTACGGCACCATGTTCTTTTCAATAACTTAACAGACTATACCTTGACATTGTTAATTTTAGTCACATCTCGGAGCAGAAAACATTAGTTTCTATGTTCTTTTTTCCCCCTTTTCTGTCCTCTAAAATGCCAGAAGGAGAGCAAATTTGATTTAGGTGGCAAAGAAGAAGAAGAATGAGGATGTGATGTGAAGGGGGAGGAGGCTGTGCAGGACTGCGCTTCAGGGCCTCAGGGGGGAGAAAACATTTTCTCTGGCCTAGGACTCAAAGAAAGGCTGGGCTACATTAATACACATCCCTCTCATTTCCACCCTCTCTGGCTCAAGCACACGATCCTAATAATATGGTTGGTTTGGCCGAAGTAGGACAACAGATGCCACTGAGGGCTGAAATGTCGACTTGTGAATGAATGATGCTGGAGCTTTCGACCAATTAGTAGCAAGTTGTAGAATACAGTGCAAACCCCATTTAACAACTTACAGTGTTACAAAGCTAATGTGTGTTTCACGGATCTTGTTTTAAATTGCATCCTACTGTAAAAGTGCCACTTTAATTTAACTCCATCTAAACTTTATATTCTTATATTTTGGTCTTTGATGCACTGATCTGGGATTTTGGTGTCTCGTGTCCAGAGTCTGTGAAGTCTTATTTTGAACAGACAGAAGCACAGAGACACACACGCACAAAGACATACCTACACACAAACAGGCATGCACAAACATATCTGTGGGGGATGAATGCAGTAATCATACTTGCAGAGCCAAAGGTTTCCATCTCATGTTCTTGAGCAAAGCAGGGGTTGATGTAAGCGTGCTCTGTGGGCGTTTCTTCAGCGTCAGGGTGACACCTGCAGGGTCCCCACGCAGCAAGTTCACCAAGTTCTTTAGCTGCCAGCCCACCTAGCAAACAACAACAGCGTGATGAGGGTTTCCACAACACACGGGCATCCCCGTGACTCAGACAACAGAAATGATAAGCTGATTTTTCAATGTGAAAATACAGTAAGTGGCTAGTATGGGGATTCAATATCTAGTCCAATTGCTTTTCCTGATGTTCTTCACCAATCAAAAATCAAATTGTCTAACCTTGACCTTACTGACTCTAATCTGTACAAGGATTCCTCTACTGAAGGGTGTGATATCTGTGCTTTTCCCTAAAATCTGAGATCCAAACGTTAACCAAGCAGGCTCAATAAGTCAATCACTGTATCGACGGAAGAACAGACTGTGACACAACACCAGCAAAGAAACCTGAAACCTCCAGCACAGAACAGACTTATCGGTACAGAGTGCAGAGTTTGCATTAACGTAGTTAAAGTTTTGACAGCAAACACGGTAGAGAGTGCAGTTTTTTGGATGTAAACCTGATCCCTTGAGCTTCCTTCCACTATCTACCAAAAACCCAATCGTAACAGATGATACTGTATGTTTCACAAACACTAACACTGTGTCAGCCACTGCCAGTTAGCCTACAAGCTAACAGGCCAACAAACAACAACAACAAAAAAACAACACTTTCTACTAACCACTGATATGTCTGTTAGTTGCCTATTTCGGTGTACAACAGACTCCTCTTCTAATGGTACATGTCCAAGGGCGCCTTTGGATGCTAGTGGTCCAGGCCCCCAGGAAATGCTCCAGGCTTTGAAGCCAATTTTCATAGTGGCCAAACAACTTCCGAGCCAATCATGTGATGCTATTGGGCCCAAAAAGTCTTTTTCCCCACTTACTTACATTATAAAAGAGATGTCTGTAAATCTGTTGATACATTTATTTTGATTGTTACAATCCTTCGAAATGACTTGTTTAACTATCAGGATTTGATCCATTCAGTCAGATAACATTTGGAAAGTCTAGACGAGCCACAAGATAAAATTGTTTCATCCCCACTCAAGGTAGCGGAGCACTAAACCAGAGGTAGCTAGCTTGGCCGGCGGAGGTCTCTTTTGCACTTGCTTTATGGGCCCAATGATGCTGAAGCAGTGCCGAACGTCTGGGTAATTTTACTTCATAGTTTCTGGCCTCGTGCCACTGAGCAACGTCCACAGAAATGAACAGGGTCCTGCCTCCAACATTGTATCCAGGTCAGGAATAAGCCATGCAGATGCTGTACTGTTTTCGTTTTAGATCGACATTAGCCATGTTTCCATCAGCCTGTTTAGATGCACATCTAGAAGTATCGCATCGGAAAATTATGATGGAAACGTCAAAATTCGAATTAAAATCCCCTGATTCACACAAACTAAAATACGCTCGCTTTAGCCGGGTTTTGGTTGATTTGAAAAAATGTTGATTTGCAAAACAGGGGATGGAAACAGTTATGTTCGAATTAAGTCTGACGTAGCGCACCTCTCTCCATGGTGATATCCACACTCCGGGTCGGGAAGGCTGTAATGCATTTACAAGCTGGTTGCCAACCGCCAGAAAACTTAGAAGAAGAAGAATGCGAGACTTGTTTTGTTTCCGGTTCTGCAGAAAACTCGCGCGAGTTCGTAGTTTTCACCAAAGTCCGAACATTTAATGGAAACACACAGGATTCGTATTTCTTTTAATGCACATATCCCAATGATTCGAATCAGTTTTGGATGGAAACAAAGCTATTGGTGAGTTTAAAAGTTTTTTGGGAGTTTCCAGAGGTGGCGAGTCGTGCATGATGCCCCTGATTTGCATAAAGTAGCCTAGATTCAACATTAAATGCAAATGAGGAACAGAAGCTTTGCCCCTTCGAAATGCAATGCAGCGCTACCGGAATGCCTTGCATGGCAGCTTATGTAGACAGTTAATGGGAAGGGTGGAAATGACAGATCCTGTGGTGATGTACCATGAGTCTGTGTCTGACTGAGGCTCAAACATGTACCGCTGAATCTCTCTAATGTTTCCTCTAACAGTAACGCTCGCCATCTTGATGCCTATTTCACAGGTCAACCAAGTGCAAGCAGCACTGGAGGAGGTACAGGCGAAACTTCTGCAAGAAGATTTCTCAGTTAGGGAGAAAGAGTAGATATGCTTCCAGAGATATTTATTCCAGAGATTTATATTATGTGAGAAACCATGTTACATAAAATGTTAGCATATTACTTAGAATGTGTCTGGAGAGGGACTTTAATACTTGGATGTTTCCTTTCACACACGATTTGGGTGACTTTTTTTTATGCCTATCCCACTACTGTGCTGTTGTGGTCGTTATTTCAATAATTCATGTGGATCCTGATGGTTGGAAACTGCAGCAGAGCCTCTGAGGTTCGTGTTTATAAAGATGCTAAATGCAAAGTTGGATGCCAAAGGGCATCTTGTACACCTCCCGTGATATCAATCTGCAGGAGCTGTCATGATGTGGTAAGCCCTGATGTTGTGTGTTATGAACAGCTGCATGCCTTGTAAATAGTCTTTAACCCAGTTTTGATGACATTTGGCACTAAAAACATCCCACCCAGAGAAACACAGTCTGCAGCTGAACCAAATATGCCAGGTCCAGTTTGGGAAGGAAATATCCTCTCTTGCTTGGCTGACTGCACTGAGGTTCAGTACATCTCGCGTATTCCAAGCAGCATGAGAAACCGGGCATTTTTCAGGCACTGACCTAGCAATCACTTTGTTCCTTTCCAAGTAATTTTTCACCTTGACAGCCACTACACAGAAATTCTGCACACAGAAAGTGCATTAAAGAGACAGACAGGCTGAAACAGACACATAACTCCAAAGCTTGCTTTATTCTATGATAAAAAAGATTGTTTGGTTGTGTATAGCCGAAACAAATGTGTTTATTTAAAGCAGTGAAACCTGTGATTTTTCAGTTTTTTTTTTCAAATATCTACTACTTTATCTTGGTTAATAAATGTTCTGCTGTGAGGTGTTTCTGATGATATGTCATGTCTCTGGTCTCTTCTTTTTGTTTCATTTTCTTCGGGGGATTCTGCTAACACTCTCCAGTGTTAAATTTATTGTCCTTTTTATGTGTTTGATGCCTTCCCTATTTATTGACCTGCACCAGAAATTCAATCTATTCTTGCTGCCTGGAGTTATTTATGTCTGACATGCTGTCTTTTTTTTTTTATAGCCTTTCAACGCTGTGCTCAATAGCCCCAAATAATTTGCCATTTCTTCATTCTATTCTACATGTGTTATTATAACACTTTCAGAGTTAATCACAGTTTTTGCCTCAGAGGATTTTTCCCTCATTACTTTCCTTTGCCTCAGCAGCCATTGTTATGTCTGCTTCTTGTGGGAAGGGATGCTAAAATCCAGTGAACTTTGTTTTGTGTCTTACTGCTGGACTTCTCCCAGCTGATGTCATTATAAATCCCTTAACTGTTTCAAGCATCTCTGTTTTTTATTTGGTATTTTTTTAACCTTGATGTTTGTTCTAGCATCTCTCAGGCCTGAAGACTGTTTTTATTTGCTCGACTGTTAATCCCCTTTTAGTCCTTTTCTCCTCTGGTTTCTAAAGTTGTTGTAAAAAGAGATGGTGCAAGGAATTCTGGGCCACCACAGACACATCTAGTTCAATGCAGCATCGCCTTGTATCTCCAAAGGTTTCATCGTGGCTAATGCCCCCCCTAATGGGATGCTCATGAACAATCACCCACCATAAATTCATTCTCAACTCTGGGCCACACTAAATTAAATGTATTATGATTGACAGTGCAGTTCTGGATCAGCACACACGTCAACTGAGTTTACATATTGCCATCACCCACTTAAGCTGTCAAACTCACTCAGCTGCTGCTCATTTCCGGAACGACACAACAAGACATCTTTCCATCAACACCACCTCCCCTGCATCCACCTGCAAACTTTGTCCTAGTTCCATGTACTAATAATATACAGTAAATACAGCATCATAATCTTCACTTCGAATTGTTTTTTCCAGCTGGTACATGAGAAATGAACAAACATTAATAAACATTAGATGATAAGACATGTCCATCAAGCTGCAAATTTAAAGCACCACTGCCAATCAGTCCAGGAAAGCAAAATGCTTCATGAAATGTAAAGCTGTAATTACTTACATTAATCAAGACCCTGCTATTGTGCATGGATGGCCGACTGACTTATCATTAAAGGAGCTCTTTACAAGTGGTTCCCTTTTTCCTTCAGGGATCCCTTTTTTATAACACTGAGTAAACTGACAACCCCCGAGTAAGTTACATGGACATTTCATAATTTACTAAATGCATAACAACAACAGCACAGACACTGATAAACTGTACAATTGATCTAAAAAAATAAATAGGTGTTTTCTGTTGTTGTTGTTTCTTAACAATCATAAATACTTGTACTGAATAGGCTCCATTTCTAACAAGTTTGGTGTTGTTTTTCCTCACGTCACCCTGATGCTTGGCCATTGCTCTCGTAGCTCTTTGGTTGTTTTAACTGTATTCTTTTCTAATGAAGGACGAGGCTGTTTAGCAGAGATGGAAGACTATGTGACTACGGCCTGTGTTCAGGTCTTCATCGTACGCCTTTCTTTTGAGAAACGGATGAAATGCTGAGATACAGGCCTACTGTGAATTTACTGTAAAGTCTTCCTAAACCCCTTAAAATCAAGAAGGCCTGGCAACCCCTAGAGGAGTTGGGAACCAATTCTCCATAAGACACTCAGGGCTGAATTCACAAAAGGATTGCGTGGCTTTTGCGGCCGCTAAACCGGTAAAAATGAAGCAAACAGATACCGTCTAATTCACAAAGCACGTGCAGAGGGTGAAATGCTCCACTAACTGCGCTGCCAAGCAGAATGTGTCTTGGTGCTCCGGTGTTATTTGCACGTATTTAAATAAGGTAATATGCATATATTTGGCGGAGAAATTGCCCCTTTCTATGCAAATGATCCTCACTGATAAACAACGTCTAATTCACTAACACCAGCGCTAATAGCCACACGCAGTTTGAGTGAAGTAAATAACGTCTTTAGAAAGCTGGTGCAAACTGGGCGCTCCTCTGTGGAAGCCTCTCGCCCAGACTTTCCAGTGATCGTGGCAGCAGTGATCGTCTGTTAAATCAGATCGTCTGTTTATTTTGTCATAATTATTATTATAATCATTATTACTTTAATGGCATCCGAAGATACTGATGCGTTGAACAGGTGACAGTCTGCGGTCGTTCTCAAAACGCACTTCTGTCACGCACTTCAAAAGCAACTTTCAATCATTTATTTTACGAAACGGGGGAAACAAACGTGAATTCATATCAAATTCAAAAGATAATGAAAAAACAGCTACAAGTGAGTGGGAATAGTGATAAAGTGGTCAAACTTGGTCAAATCCACAGCCTCAACCCATCTGACACTGTTAGACTGACTCACCAGCAGACATCACTACATGAGGGTATACAGTATTCAGTACTTTGCCAAACAAAGTCTGCCATTGTTCTGCCACGGTGTTCTTGGCGCAAAGCCAGCATTTATACTTTGCCATGTGGCTTATTGCAACCAGGGGCAAACTGCACTCAGCTGCCAAACTTTGTGGGCGTGTTTGCGCTGGTATATCATTAGCGCAATATCCTTTGTGAATAGGACGTTAAGACGGAGCAAACTGCGGGTGCAAGTGAAGCGCAATTCAAGGTGCTATCAACGGCCGCAGTTCATTCTTTGTGAATTCGGCCCTCAGAGCATTATTAAAGCGGCAAACAGTTAATGGTTATGTTAAGCTATAGTGGAGTAATGGCGTCCTGGGCAAAGAATAAAGTCACGTGACCTCTGTGTGTGTTGTAATCTGAGCTTCTCTGTTCTTTGTTTCGTATTCTGGCCGTGCACGCATGTTAGGACATGTGAGCATCCCACTGGCTAACTAATCACCACCGCTCTGCACTGCTCTCATATGGTGGTTGCCACTGATATCAAGTCAGCGTCATTGTGGAAGCATGGCGCCCACCTTTGCCTGGTTAACACCGTTAGTTCTGTCAGCACTGCTACTGTTGTCAACACTGCTTGTGGTTTTAGTACCACTAGCTGCTAGCCACTGGTTGCAGACAACCTGAATCAGACTCTGAATCTTTGAGTCTGTGTAGACCTGGTATTAATTTGTGTTTCAAGATCCAAACACAAATGGACAGCTGAGACACATTGCTGTTCACACCTGTGCCTATCACAGCAGACCCCTCGTGCTCACATTTTATTACACACACACACTTTTGCTAGCTGAAATGTAGCATGCTCGCTAGCCATGTATGTGGTTGTGCCAGTATCGCTGTCAGCAGAGTTCAGCACATCTCCTTCAAACAGGGCAACACGAGTGATGATAAGTGACACTTCGTCTAACTGTGCACTGTTGCCAAAACAGCAACCATGTCTTGCACCGATGATGTAGTCTTCACATCAGGATGCAATATTGTGTGGTCTAACGCGTTACAGACCACCTGGGCGAGTGGTCTGAGTGATCGGATCACAATTCGTCTTGGGGGTCGTACAGGCTTACAGAGAGACTCTATATGTCGTATACAGCTCCTTTAACGTTATTAATTACACATGTGCTTCGTCTGCGATGACAGGTTAAACTATCTGCCATAAAAAGGTCTGTTGGGATACAGTCTAATTCTTTTGGTTCCCCATGAGGAGCATGCACTGACACCTCCCTGCTCTCACTTTTTGTCAGCCTTTAAACTCTGCTTCACAGTGAGATGAAAGAGTCTTGACATCTAAATCAACTCTGTGTTTGCACTTATTCTCTTTAAAAAATGGCTGCATTCAGTGGGTGAGTTGACTGACTGAAATGAACCTGACTTGAGCTGTGTAATTACCATACGTCTTGCTGTTGCACACACAAGTAGCAATTATTTTAGACAAAGGGTGCTATATTTAAATTGTGCACCACTGGAAGTTTTTGCTTTCATTTCCACTTGATTTATACAATGCTATGTGCGACAGCAACAGACACTTTGTGCAGTTTTGTCTCTTGGCGAAAAACAGTGAAAGGCCAATTATTTCTGCTGGTTATTGCTCTGCTCAGGTTGAAGTCGGGCACAGCTGACAATGATGTGAGGTCTCCAAACACCTTTACAGTCATGGAATATAACTAAGTACATTTACTCATGTACTGTTCTTAAGTACAATTTTAAGGTACACGTACTTTACTTGAGGATAACTTAACTTCAGGTTTGAATGAAGGACTTCTACTTGTAATTGAGTATTTGTGGCGGCAGTAGCTCAGTCCGTGGGGACTTGGTTTGGAAACCAGAGGGCTGCCGTTTCAAGTCCCTGTTTGCACCAAACACAGGGTATGGATTGGTAGCTGGAGAGGTGCCAGTTTATGCTTTTGGGCACTGCTGAGGTGCCCTTAAGCAAGGTACAGATCCTTCAACTGCTCAGGGCACCTGTCAATGGACAGCCCCCTCTTGCTCTGACATCTCTCCATTAATGCACGTGTATAGGTTGTGCATGTCTTTGCTACAGGCCTGTGTGTGTGTAATCTGTAAAATAACAGAGTGAAAAAAATTAATTTCCCTTTGAGGGACCAGTAAAGGAATGCTTTCTTTCTTTTTACTTTTGCTTAAGTAAAAGATCTGAGCACTTCTTCCACCACTGCCCCTTTGCCAAGATAAGAAGGATCAGGATTCCCTGGTGGTCGAGGGATTTAAGGCGACGACCATGAATTGCAACATCCCTAAATAAGGACCTGTGTTGTGTGCCATTCCCCGTCCCTCTTTTCTGTTTCCTGTCACCTCTCTACTGTGTATCATAAATTCCCTAGTAATTACCACCGTCAAAAAAAGGAGAACAAAAGGCAGTTTTACAGTTGATGAAAGAGGGTAATGTCAGTCAAGCACAGTCTATACATGGTCACACTGTCCTCAACAAAGGTCTAATTATAAAGTCACCTGTGTGGACGCATCATAGGTGTCTCGCAGTTCAAACACTACCAACAGTAATCACACTGAAAATGGTGGTTCCTGTCCACAGCTGGTTAAGGGCCCAAAGCAAGTACCTCCTGATCGACTGAAGTGCTCTTGTGAGCACAAGTTCAACATTTCAACTGACCATCCGACTGACCCTGTGACGGCAAAAGACACATATCCATCCAGCCAGAGTAAAACATCCACATCCTCAAAAACGACCTACAAGAGGCCCTACAGCCAGCCACTTATACAATAACAGGTCCAGTAGTGCTGGGGTGTTAACTGTGGAAGTACTGCAACACAGATATGAATGTGAATAACGGAGCCACATACACATTCACAGCACAGCACAGCACAGGTATATCTTTATGTACAAAACACGCACGGATGAATTAAACAGACATTTGCATAAAGGATCTACAAATGCAGAACGCACATAAAAGAATTGTATGCAAATCCAGACAGCAAATATAAGAAACACATTCAAGAAGTCGGTGGTCTTACCACTGTCTGATGATTGACCTGAATGACTTCATCTCCAGCATGGATTTTCTTACAGCGATCAGCCAGGGACTGACTGATAGACAGAGAGATAGAGTCATTAACTGCAGCTCCATGACTGAGCTCACTATGACACAGCACCTCATTCTACAAGTGAATGAGCAGTGTGGTTGAAATCTAAATAGGTGAACACAAAGAGGCTTGTACTTACCCCCTCTGTTGTCCCGGTGATTACATGCAGACCATCATATGTTGATTTGATATACATGCCCTGAGGGGAGATAGCAGGAATATAAATGACTACATTTTAAAGCAAACTCTAACATACGGCCCCCCTAACACAATGCATCTTGACTCAGCCACACAGCCATTTGCAGAACAGACCAGGGTCATTGCATATTTGCAAATCATAGCATTTGTTTAATCTGCTCGGAGTGAAAAATGGGTAGGAGTTTGGATTTATCTCAACTTTTTCACAAAGCAGTGAAAGACATGAGAGTTTTTTATACTGAGCTCAGATTTGCCGCATTGGACAAATGTTAAAATAACTACAAGAAGCTCCTTAAATATCACATTGGTGTGCTTTTTCAAACATGCACGACACAATCTGAATTAATGTCCTGTCGGGAGTATCACTCAAATGCTCCTTCGAGCAGACTGAATCAAACACGGAGGATTATTCATCTGCAAATACTGTGCGTCTGTTGCAGAAAAGCTAAGTTTTTACTGAAAGGGGTCTAAAGGGCATTACATAGACACACACACACCCAGACACACAGTCGCACACAGATGCACATGAGTACACATGTACATTCACACGCAAACACACACACACACTTGCTCAGATACACAGAAGCAGCATGCCAGTCTTCAAGATGAGTGTAAGAGGTTTATTTTTAGGCCACTTGGCCCACTGTTGTGTTCAGGTTTCACTGAACGGATGAGAGAACTTCCATGCCCCCTGCTAGCATTTGTGTGGGGGTGGGGCTTTTATTGTGGCCCCAAGCAGGGCACTCGTGCCTGAGTGTAGGTCAGCGCGAAGATGGAGTCCAACAAAGTGCTACTGGTCATACAGTGGCAGCAGAAGTAAATGTCTTCTCTGCTAATAAACACAGTATCTACACTTTGTCCCCAAAGTAAGTGCATACTGTCATTTGCTGCATATCATCTGCAAATGTAAGCACGTTGTGTTTTGTTCATTTTGGACAACATGTTCTTTTTATGTTGCTTTTAATCAGCTGACTCACATGCCCACGAGCTCAGCAAAGCCCAGTTTTGGGACAGCTACAGTGACCTCCATTAGACACTGGACAGTACAGCAGCAGGCAGTCTTTATGCTTTACTTCAATATTCATAATATTTGAAATGTAAGATGATGGTACGACTCCTGTTTAAAGTGTCAATTTAAAAATTAAACAGCCACTTGTCTTTCCCAATAACATCCCTGATACTCTCTTTGTATTAACCCCAGTAATAACAGTTTACTGCAATTTTTTAAATAAAATCCCCTCACCTACAATATATTGGGGTTAAGATCTGGATATTTCTGATATGTCAAAACCTGTGCCATAAAACCCAAACTATTTGTCCAGCTTGATTTTACAAGAGGCAAATGAAAAAATATCACCCATTCTAGAGACGTGGGACGGATCGTGTCCTAACGAAAAAAGCCTTAAAATTATAACTTATCAACACACTTATTTTTGTTTTGGGGGTGAAATACATTTTTTTTTAAAGGATTTGTTTATATGAAATAAATATAATTTATATATTTTTTTTAATCTGCTTTCATTTTTTACTTCTAAACTTGCCCTGTGCCAGAAAATACCCCTGTCCCAGACATGAGTTCACAACTTTAAACATTTAAAACATTCTTCAAAATCTAAAACTAATGATACACACTGATAACACTGATATAAAAATATACTATTATATATTATCTTTGTTTTAAAATATATATTTTTATGAAAATGTTGGCCCTTTAAAGATGTGTCCAAGATTTTTGTCAGCACTGTAAGATTATTACAAAGACATAATTCAATCAGGCATAGAAGGGGTTAGCTACATCCTGAGGACTCCTATCTCACTTCCTGGTTTCCAAAAAGGCAGGAATGCTGCTCCAGCACCGGTAAGCTTTTTTATTTTTTGATAAATTCATTAAATAATATTGCACTGTAGCCCGTCTTAATAAAAACTAAAGAAGAATTATAGTTTAAAACTGAGTATTTTGATCAGCATTAAACACGAGGTTGAAAAATAAAATGACCACTTACTACGATTGCAGAGAAATTACTTTTTGTCAACTCCATCAGATCTTACCTCTGACATCCATCATGTCTGCTAATCAAGAAAAAAATTAAATCACTGGGAGGTTGGCCTGTTACAACGTTTAATAGTCAGGACTTTGATCTTTAAAAAATATAAAGTTTCCAAGCCTAATTAAAGGGTAAAAAATTTATAAATAAATATATACATAAGGCTTTGTCCCAACTCTCAAGAATGGGTTAAATATGTTTTAAATACTATTTGGGTCAACCAACCCCTCATGTAAATATCCCATGTACTTGGTCGCAGCCCAAAACACCTACAGAAGAAAGAGTTAAACAGCTAACTGGAAGAAACAACTCAAGCAATGTTAGTATTCTTGACTGAGCAACTGCACTAACTATTTTTGCAGTGAGTGAGATACATGCTGCAAGATAATTTGCACATGCCGTATTTGAATCGAAAGTCAATATGCTGTCAAAAGTCATGCTGTTGTCATTTCTGTAATTAGTGGCTTTCACCATCATCCAGCATTATTAGTTACAAGTAGTTCTGTACTTTACTTTTTTGGTAGCTTTTTCCTGTGTTCACTTCATCAAACCTAGAAAACAATTCCACATCTTGATATCTTAAGAATATTAAACTGTTCTCAATTGTAATGAAAGTATAAAGCCTGCCTGTGTGCAGACGCCACATGTGTGGTGGGTATTCAGCTTGCATGCTTCATACATGTTTTTGCGTTTGTTATGACAGAGAGTGTGTGCAGTGTGATGCTGGTAGAGTTGTTTTATTAGTTATGTGTATAACATTTTAATTTCTAGGCTGCTAAATTAAATGCATGCTGCCAAAACAGGCAATACCTATGTTATAACATTTTCTACAATCTTAAAGCCCCTACAAGGAACTTTCATTTTGAGTTGATTTTGGCGACCCTGTGGACAAAAGCGGTAGTGTTTTGCCGGAATGAAGCCTACATTTCCCATGAGCTCTAGCGCGTATTGTCGTAAAGACGTTTACCTGGCTCGCGCATGTGTTTGTTTTGGGGATGAATGAAACAACAAGACGGGTAAACTTTGCCTCCGCTCCTATCGGGGATCCCAGGTCACCTCTGCCGCGCCCCAGCTCCACCTCTCCGGCGTAAGTGCCACCGCCGCCGGGGTAAATGCAGCGGTCGGCTGGTAAGGCTGAAGGCCTGTTTGGCGAGCACTTCCACGGCTTCTTGGACTGAGTATGGAGCGGTGCCTCGCCTCTTTATTTCTCGGCACTCGCTGGACCCTGTCGACGCCTGGCTGGTATCTGTCGTCGGTCCGGATGAGGTGTTCCAGCCCCGTGGCCCCTGCTCTCCTCGTCCCCGCTGGTGCGGGGTGAATCTGCGCAACCTGTGGCCTCTGTGTGTGGCTCCCCGGACAGCTAATGCTGTGGACCCGCCGGCTCCTGCCAGGACTGGGCTGGTAAATGCTAGATCGCTAGCGAACAAAATGTTTATCCTGAAGGATTTCTGACTTCCCGAGGATTGTATTTTCTCTGTGTGACTGAGACGTGGCTGACTGTTGGTGAGTCCAGTGCTTTCACAGAACTTTTACCCGATGATTGCTGCTATTTTAACTCCCCGCGGACGTCGGGTCGAGGAGGAGGAATAGCGACTATTTATAAGAGTCACTATAAATGTAAGCAGCTAGGTAAGATGACGTGTGCCGTCTGAGTGCCGTAAATCGTTTCGTCCTGGAAGCGACCTGGTGCAGACCCGGAGCCAGTTTCCTAAAGGTATGGATATACACTATATAGAAATAGCTTATCTTCACACCGATGGTCTCATTTGCTGTTGTAGGTCATGCACAGACATCAGCAGAAACGAGAGACTTTTGCATATCCAGTTAAAAGTTCCTTGTAGCGGCTTTAATTTCTTATGTGGAAACTACCAGCGTATTTAATACAAACAGAGCACCAAGGGTGTAAGTTTTGTTTCAATATTGAGGGGGGCACATGATATGGGGGCTTTGGGGTCCTCTGCAAGAACATTTTCTTGCATTCTGATGAATATTTATGCAAAGATTTGTGCCTTTGCTGCTGAATATATGGTGTAAATGTCTTTTATTTTGTCAAAATAAAAGTGTTGACTTATGCAGTGCACACTACAATTAACAGGCCATGGGAAGGTAATTACATTCCTTTGTAGCATTTTCTTTATTTGGATACAACCTAGTAAGAATCAGGCTTTACAGTATTATGGCTGAAAATATATATTACTCACTAAGTACGTGTTATTATATTAGCCTCTCAAGTCATAAGCCAGTACTTATATAAATAAACATCTTACAACCTACACTAACACAATTGCTTTTAATCTTAATTACTAAATTCTCAGCTATAGCATATACTATACTTCCTACTGCTGGGTAATTGTGTAGTTATGTCTTGCAATTGCTACGTAATTAAGTAGCCTGTAATTCACACAGAGCCCAGATCCTCTAATGACAGAATGGGAAGGATGACCAATGAGAAACTGGACCTTAAAGTCTGACTGAGTGTTAGTCTTACCAGTCCTTCAGTAGATTTTATGTTGGCCAGCTGCACAACCTCCAAATGTGCAGCCTGAGATACCATGGGATCTGAGGACAGGGAGATGATGTGGTCGCACACTTCAGACAGAGTTTTACACTGTGGAGGACACATCAGGGATGAGTACAATATTAAAATGTGCACATTATTGCTTCATTTACATCCGATCCAGTGTGACAACGTCTGCAACTCACCACATGAAGGATTTTGTTTTCCGTTTCGTACACAGAGCAGTCCTGGGGAACATTCAGAGAGCACTGTTACCTCAAGAGAATGTGTCAAAATGGAGTTATTATTGGCATTTCAGCTGTAGGTGGATATAAGCAAAAACCGAGCAGCTTGGCACCTATAACCCCCAGCACTCCCACACAGGCATGCACAAACACAAAACAAATGAATCACCATTGCGGAGGCATGTCTCTCTCTCTCTTTTTCACTCTGCCAGTCTTCCTCTCTCGGCCTTCAACTCTCTCCCTCTCGCCCTCTTTCACTCCCACCTTCAATTTTTCCCACTTACATTTTTCTCTTAACTCCATATAAACATTATCCTCCATAGAGACCGTCCTAAAACCTATTAAGCATCCGTGCTGTCATTATTTACTGATCTTTCAGGGTCGTTCGGGTTGGCTGTGCTCGTCATCATGTACAGGCCAAAGACAAATAACACTGATATTAAAATCTAATCTGTGATGAGTTCCTAACGTTTCATCTGATCTGCAGTCTCTTTAGTTTGAAAATATCTGAACTTGTATTTCAGCTGTAGCTGAATGAGGCAATGCTGTGCTACATGTCAGCATATCTGACAGATGAAAAACACGTTCTGAAGGCTTTTTTCATAGCCAGCTAAAATATATATTTCTTATAAGCACTGACAGTTGTAATTTATAAAACAAGAACATTTGTGCATAAACACAAAGAAGTTCTCTTTCTCTTATCAGTGATTAGCTGATCTGAAGTGGCTATATAAAGGTATTAAATTAAAGACTTTTTAACAGTACTTTGTTGTGCTTCATATATATCTTCTGTTGTTTAAACCTTTAATTTTAACTCATGTTTGAAGAGAGGAGCTGTGTTCTGTGTATACAAGGAATTAAGTGAGATGCTGCCTCAGTTTTTCTCCGTATCATCATAGCACAAATTATTTTCTGAACTTGAGCTTTAAAAAACACATGCACATATACTGTATATATATCATGTGCAGATGTTTTCAAAACTTCTAAATAAATAAAACCATTCTGGACACTTTTCAACTAACGCAGGCTATAATGCATTTTGGCATCGTCATAATACTCCCACGTGGAGAATCAGGTTACTCTTGGGTAGTTGGAGGTATTTTGATTTCAAATTTAATTGGGATAAAATCTTTCCTGGGCTTGAGCTGCATAGTAATACTATATTACGCAATGTCTTTACCTGTTGTACAATTGTAGTGAGCTCAAGACACAGCTGGATCACGTTGTTTCTGGTCACGGAGTAATCTGCCACCGCAGCAAATGGAGACCTGAAAAAGAAGGAGCACCTGGAATGAACCATTAGATCATTCTTGCTTTGAGACTAAATCACTGGTAAATCAAGTGGGAACATTTCCAAACACACAATGGTTTACATCAGCACTCATACACATGCATCAGGAGTGCTTTACTTCTGTCCACGTTTTAGAGTTTTGTAGAATCAAATTTAGATCTAGATGTTCCTGATATGCACAGTGCATCGATGTCTTAATGAAAACAATGATGTGAATTAACAGCATTAAGTGGTTAATAAACATACAGTATATGTAAAAACAAAGAAGCATCTTTGTTCATTATATCATTAAGGCCAATGTGAGCTGACGGTGTGTAAAGATTATTACTGGTAAAGGGACGGTTCACATTAAAATCAAATATACATACATGTTCCTTTTACCTGTAGTGCTGTTTATCAGTCTAGATTGTTTCAGTGTGAGTTGTCGAGTGTTGGGGATATCAGTCGTAGAGATGTCTGCCTTCTCCCCAGTATAGTGGCACTAGATGGCACTCAGCTTGTGGAGCTTAAAGCACTAAAAAATACATTTGAAAAACTAAACAGCAATGTCTCTTTCCATAAATCACGACTCTGTTACTCAAGATAGACATTGTTGTGAGCATGTTTCGTGTATGCATGCATGTTTCGTATGTTTCATGTAGGAACTATTTTCTTTCGACCAAACTAAACCTGCCAACCATATCGTTGCACAGAAGAGACGTGCATCTACTCATGGATGAGAGTCTTGTGACAGCGTGAGATGTAAACATTAATGGCGTCCTCCACATTAGCTAACTCAGTGATGCAGTACAGGTAAGAGTAAATGTGTATTTTTGTTTTTGGCTTGCACTATCCCTTTAAATGTACCTCACCAACACATAGGCCTCTGTACACAGCCTAGAAACCACTGCTTTATTTTCTCCACATTTCTGTCTGTACTCCAGAGTCATATTTAAACTGCAAGGTGTAATTTTGTCAACAATGATGCATTAAAACTTGAAAATGAAACATTGGCTGTTGAATTTTAATTAGAATAGATGCCTTTGTGACTGCCTATGGGAAAAGAAACAACAATTCACTTTGTTATTTCTGTTGAGTGCTGTCTGCTTTGAACTTCCAAATTCATCAAACACACACAGACAGATGCAAACACACACACTGGCACAATCCCACAGAGAAGCAAAGGGATAAAGCAACATATAAATAGACTTGCTCAGTGCCTTTTTGGCCACCCTGTCAAAGTCTACTTATATAAGGCCTTTACTCATCTTGTCTTGTCAGCTGATTGGTCATGGACATGACATTAAAAACTAGAGTTAACGCTTTAAGGTTGTGTGCCTCCATGAACCAGTCAAGTTGCACTTACAGTTTACACCCATGTCTGTGAAAACATGGATACTTCACACACATCTTCCCACTGGTGGCACAGAAGATCTGTACAGTCGGCACAGTCTCAAGGTGGACACCAAAGATAAGTGTCACCAATTCAGTATGTGATCAAATGTCTCCCCCTCTGTCCCTGAGATATGACATTGAGTGATGGCCAGAAAAATGTTTTTGCAGAACATTATGATGTCACAGTGAAGCTGACCTTTGACCTTTTGGATATATAATGTCATCACTTCATCATTTTATTGATTAGACATCTGAGTGAAATTTTGTCATGATTAGCGTATGAATCCCGAAATGATGGCTAAAATCATGTTTTGTGAGATCAAAGTGACTTTGACCTTTGACCACCAAATTCTGATCAGTTCATTCTCAAGTCCAAGTGGATGTTTGTGTCAAATTTTAGGAAATTCCCTAAAGGCTGATGCAAGGTCTTAGTGACTTTGACTTTTGACCTTTGGGGCTCTAGTTTCGCAGACCGGGTGAGGCGGGGGCGCAGCGCACCTGCGCTTCGCCAACTGGGTGTGGCCAGGCGGATTTTGCAAGTTTGGCACACCATGCGCCTGGCGCAGCTACTCCTCTTTCCCACCTCCGTCCCTCCTACCTGCGCAAGTCGGAAAGAGGGAGGAGAGAAGGCGTGGAGTGGGTTTTACACACATCACACCAATCAAATGAGCCCCTCTCCTCGCCCTTTAATGCGCCGCGCGAAGCCATAATGAGAGTTTACTCAATTCGCCATGGCAGAAGAGAGCAGCAGCGTCAGACGGCCAAACTTCTCCCAGGAGAAAACTGATGTTTTGGTCTGGGAGGTCCAAGCTCGCAGTGTCCGAATATACGGAACTGCGAGCAGACCTCCACGGGCTGATGATGCAAAGGTAGCCTGGGAGGAGGTCACCACAATTGTAAATCAGTGATGCGTTTCTCTTGTGCACGCGCGCTCTCTCTTTCTCTCTCGCAGTCTCACTCTGTTTCTTTTCTTTTGACTTTTCTAAGATGACAGATGCTGAATATATACTCCCTATCTGATGCTGTGGCTGTTTGTGGTTGGCTGAGAGGGATGTGAACTCATTAGTTTGCAGCTGTGTTAATCAAATCAGGTTGGGTTTCCATTACGCGTACCAAACGTGCCAGACGGTGCCAATCCCCTTTGATCTGACATCAGATGTGACGGGACAGTCGATACAGAGATACATTCATGTGCTGATTGCAGATAGTTGCATTGAATAGTGGTTTTTGTGGGTATTTACTGCATCGTTAATGTGCCTGACATTCTGGAAACCTGCCTGTGAGGTTTTGGTGACGTGTGCGCACTGTCCGCCGGTCAGCCAAACTTCGGCTTACACCAGCTGCACTCCCCCTGCGCTGACAGTAGACCTGGTTTCAGCTGGCGAGCTTTTAGCGCGCCTTCGGCGAAGCCTTTTGGCACGAAACTGTCACTGCGCCAAGCTGGATCTGTCGACACCTCCCCCTGCTGCGCCGCCACACCCATCTCAGCGCACCTCAGTCTGCCAAACTACCAAACTGAGCGCGCCTCGGGTTGTGCTGCTCGAAACTAGCTCTGCGCGGGGTTCGCCACCCTGTGCTGCACCGGGAAGCTAGAGCCCTTGATGGCCAAAATCTAATCAGATCATCCTTGAGTCCAAGTGGACATTTGTGCCAAATTGTAAGAAATTTGTTCAAGGCCGTCTTGATCACAAGAATGGGACGAATGGACAACCCTAACCCAAAATCACCAAAACACACAACATGAACCAATGCCTGATAAATATAAAATAAAGATGGTCTCATTCCTTTTTAAGAAAGTTTTTTATAGATTCTGCTGCAGGTTATTTTTAAAATGTAAGGAAAATGTCAAATTCAAAGAGTCCATCAAATCAAATCCAGTCCAATCCAGAGCTGATGTTTTTGCTTGAAGATGCAAGCATGAGTACTTATGTACTTTACAAGCTTTTAACAAAGCTGGACCCAACACATTCGGTGCTACTAGGCAAGAGAGCAAGAGCTAATGAGAAATCAACACAAAGTAAAGAACTTAGCTGCTAACAATAATGATAAATCATAATAAACAATAAAAAATACAGTATGTGCAAATCTGCAAGTTGTGTCTTTTTTTCACCCAGAATGACTTTTGTGTTTTCATTTTCTCTTACTCTAATACTCTTGACATACACACCACACCACCCTACCCATCAGTACTGCATGTTGTGACAGTGGTTATGGGGGGAGTTTTTCCTTATCCGCTGTGAGGGTCCTAAGGACAGAGGGATGTCGTATGCTGTAAAGCTCTGTGAGGCAAATTGTGATTTGTGATATGATAAGATAAGATAGGATAGGATGCACTTTTACTGATCCCACAATTGAGAAATTCCAGTGTTACAGCAGTCGAGGGGAAAGAGTCAGATTAAAGATTTCAAAATTTAAACTTAAAAACATAAAACTTAAAAACGAGGCATGCAAAATAAAGTACAAAATATCCATATTTGTCAAACCTGTACTGCTACTGTCAAACTGAAGTTCAGGGAAAACATTGTGAGTGAATCTATCAGTGTGTGCACATAAACATGTATTTATGTATGTATCCAAATGTTTACAGTGGCCTTTTAACATGATTAAATGTACTACAGATTTTTGTAAATCTCACCTGTCCAGCCACGCCAGAAGGCTTTTGGCTGCAGCGATCAGGTCCACCACGGAGGTAAGAAAGTCATTGGGCAGCTTGCGGGTAGCTCGGCCATCGTAATGGCCGCTGCGCCTCCTGCCTGTGATGAAGTTCTGCAGGTTCTTAGCAGATGCATTGAGCTTATGAGAAAGAGTCTTCAGATTCTCAGTCTCCAGCCCGTAATTCTGGAGGAGAGAGGAAAGTAAACTCACTCTGTTTGACCAGTTTGTCAGTGTTTGTTTTAACTGTGATGCATTCCAAGAATTTCTCCAGTGTGGAGACTGAAACCGATCTGCTCTGTGAATAAAAAAGATCACTGGCAGAGGAGCCCACCTTGTCTCACTACAGAAGATGCGTGCCCTTTGACAAACACAAAGAGGAACGAAACCACTGACCCGTCCACACGGCCCCGCTCCCCTCCATCTGTCACGTTGCATGTCGAGGGATAGCCGAACGCTCATTACCCGTACGCCAAACTGCACGTGGGGGCCAGTGGGCGTCTGTCACGTCAGAGTTTCTTGGGAGGGGAGAGCGCGGCAGGAGGGCTACTAATCATATTCAATACAGCAGTGCCTGAGAGACTTAAAACTAAATCCTAGTTACATAAGGAGCTTTGGGGCTGAAGCAAGGCCCCCCCGTGCAGCGATGCAGGATGAGAGGACTTTAGATTCAGATTGCATCTGTGACCTCGGTCCACTAAATCTCCATCCAGTCTCTCTACTGTATGTCTCTCTTGAGCTGACACGTACCCATCTTCATCTCTATTCCACCCTCTCTCCGTCAGTCCTGCCTCTCATACATCCTTTAACATCTTCTTCTTTTTGATTTCCTCTGTCTCACTCTTCACCTTTAACACCACCTCAGATGTGCATTTTGGTTGAGATGCAAATTGGTTATTAATGCTCAGTACTGACATCCAAGTATACTTTGTAATTGTCCAACTATGCAATTAAAGATAAGGGTCTGAAAAGAGGGAAATTACAGTATCATGAGGAATGATTCAGCGGGTGGATGACATGCCTACAACCAATTATAAAAAGCATTCCTCAAACACAGAGAGAGCTTTACATTTCCATTTACATAGAACTTTAATGACATTGCATTTGTTAAACGCTGTGAAGAATAAAATGAATTAGCAAATATTGCTTTGTTCCAGCTTCTCCACTTTGAGGATTTCGCTGCAGTTCTGTTTAATAGGCTGTCATTGTGGGTCTGTCATGATAATTACTCAACTTACCCATGTCAGCAAAAATGATTGAGGTCATATCCATATACCATATGATATTGTCCTTGTGTTTACATGTGTGTTTGTTTACATAGGAAAATGTCACCATAATTTTAGCCAAATATAAACAGCAGTGTTTTCTCAACCATTATAAGACTTGTTTGCAGCACCTAAGCCGAATTAACAGAATTTTTTTTTTTTGCTGACATTGGAATTAAAAGTTTATTGCTCTCTGAAAGAGTATACTTGCATTATTATTCTCCTAAGTAATCATTATATCAGTGGCATAAAATAGTCTTAAAATGACAATAATATCTAAATTATTTCTTTGACAATATATCGTCCAACAAAAGGAGTTATCATGACAGGCCTATATGATTTGAAGTCACATTAACGTCTGTGAAATTGCCAGTTTTCCCTATTTCCTGACATTTTATGTACTAAATAAAAAAATGAAAATAACATAATGACAATGTTAGTTGCGGCACTCACTAGATCAAAAATGATTTTTTTTTGTGAGCTAACAGGTGGTTAAATCAACCTAATAAACATCCCAAACTTTAAACAAGCAAAGGAATATAACAAAGAAAGAAATAACTGGAAAAACAATGAACGAAAAAGAAGCTCTTTTTCCTGATAGTGCAAATTTAAGGGTAAAAAAAACTTGAGAATACTTCAGATTTCAGAGTTAATGCATTTAAAAATTAAGTCATTCAGGGACAAGTGACCTGAAAAAGTGACAATGTTTGGTAAAAGCTCCCCTCTGTGAAGAAAAGATAATATTCTTTGACTATATCATGTGATTTTGACCTAAGGGTACAGGTTTTGTTTCAACATGAGGAGGAGACACACACACACACACATATGAAAGGTGGGGGGGTCCTTGACCAGAAAGATCCCCTGGATTCTGGGGAAAATTTATGCAAGAATTTGTGCCTTTTCTGCATAAATTTAGAGTGTAAATGTCTTTAACTTTGTGTTTTTATTTGGAGGTAGGGGGACAAATGCATGTTCTAAATATGGAGATGGATGTGGCCCCTGTATGCCCCCTAAAAAGACTCTCCTGAACAGGAAGTCACATTGTCACCGGTTTCTCTTATGTCATTGTGGTCCTGCTGACCTGAATCACAAGGTAACACCTGAGGTCCCTGCAGTGACACATGGACTGAGTGTTACAAGCTGTATAAATATTAGGCTTTCGCTACTTCAGCAGCACATCAGCCCGACCATCAGAGCAGCAGTCCATCATGCTGACACACACAAAACTTGTGTTTCTGAGGCTAAGAGCAGAAATCACTTCAAGAGGAGGCTGTAATCCGTGTCAGCACTAATGACAGCTGTAAGGTTTGCCTGTAGAGGATATTTTTATCAGATTATTATCCCTGCTAGATTTGCTGCGATGTTTGAAAAATTGAGGCCTAGAGCATTTTCCCAATCAGTATTCACTTATTCCTGAAACAATTGACTTTGTTAAGTGATTGACAGATTTCCTGGATGATAAATTTATGCAAGAACACAACAAACATCATCACTATCAGTTGAAATCTTACATATTCGAAATATCAGTTTTTCGGTACTAAAAAACAACCTTATTTTCTAGCTTGACAACACCACATTTTTGGGGTTAATCCAGGGATTTTCCAAGTATTTGAGAAGCTGAGGAGGCACCAAATGTGCTAAAGAAATTTCATCCAACAGCAGTGGTCTGGGACTCTTTGAGGTGACAGTACAGAGTAGTGGGAAGACAGTGTGGGAAGCTTGGACTCACCAAAGCACAAAGTAAGTCCACAGCCTCCAGTATGAGCTCCTGGTGGCCGATTCTGGACACTCCCAAATCCTCCAGCTCCTGGTGGGTGATACGCAGCAGCTGGTCCCCCCCTACTTTCTCCCTCTCGAAGGTCTTGATGTACTGCTGCAGGCAGTCATCCAGGCCTGAGGGATTCACACAGGAAGACAGGAAAAACTTTCAGCACAGCTCGACAACATAAAGGTTTAGTTTGCTGGTGGCATCTAAGATTCCTTATGAAACCTCTATTTGCATTATGTGCTCTAATAGGGCTTGATATCGCTTTTCTTGCCAGGATATGTGCTGTAGATCTGTAAAGTGTGAGCGCAGGTTGTATTTTGTTGTGTCTTAAGTGTGAAACCGTCCGTGTCAAGCAAGAAATCTGACAGATTCCTCCTCCTCAACAGTCCTGAAGGTGCAGTTTCAGCTTTAAACTAGAAAAAGCTTTCAACTAAAAAGGGGCTGCGTGTCTGTGCTCAGCTTGTGTTACATCTTTCACTGCTGCAGCAGGTGTGAAGTCGTTCGGTGAGGCAGACGATGAAGTGCAGCAGACTAAAACACACCGATTCTGCATCTCCTGTCTCCTTCAACGGTTTTCACCTTATCAGGTTTAAAACAGCGCTAACGCGTGCATCAATACGGTATACACAGGGGGTGGACATAAAAGAAAGGGTTTTTTTTTGTTTGTTTTTCCATTATGGATTAATGTGCTGATTCAGGGCCATAATCAGTTATTAACGAGGGTGGGGTCATCAATCTACACCTTCTAGACAGATAAACAGATATATATTAATCCTTTTGGAAATTCATTGTGCACTATACAGCAAATGGCAGATAGATAAACAGACAACTATAATAACACCGACAACAACAACAGCACCAAAAGACCAAACATCAACAACAGGGCACCTCCACATTATTATAGACTTGTTCACCACCTAATGTCAAGTTCTACATATCATTAGGTGCAGCGTTCTCACAGACAGTTATTTTTGTTCAAAGTTTGTTCAACACTGCACAAATGTTCTGCCCGCACAGGTAGTTCGGAGCGATGGCACTCTATACCTTCTGCCTGATGATAACAGTGCATACACTAAATAAGGGTTCGTGAAACATCTCTAGTAATCTCCTGCTCTCTCCTAGTCTGTGACCCAATCCTCCACAGGGTCCCCACAGGAGAAATTTTTAGAAAATTAAAAGCTAAACTGACCATTGTCAAGCATTTTGAAACAAAAATCTTAGATGAGGGGTGCTGAAAGTTTTGATGACTAAGTGCCATTTTCAGGAGCAGCATATGATTGAGGGCTGCACAGGAAAAGTGCACAAGCTACGACTTTTTTATGACTTATGTTAATATGACATTTTCAGTGACATTTTTTATGACTTCTTATGATGTACTAACACTTTACAAGCGTATGTAACACTCATAATACATTCTAGTTTCCTACTTTTGAATACATTTGAAAGTAATGAAATAGAGAGACAGTTTTACTGCTTCTGCTGGGATAGCAACACCACTCGGACTAACCACAAGCAGTATTGCAAAAACACTGTGATTCTTGAACTGGTAGTAATAACAACAGCAATGTATTTATGATTATGATTAAATTTGCCGTCCATTATTTTGGTGCATTCTTTTTCTTTTTAATTTTTCAACAATATATCGGAATTGTAATAGGGGGGAATGTGTTCCTCCCTATTACAATTCCTGCCGAGTGCTGATTATTTTCTCAATCATTTGGTCTATAACTTATCAGAAAGAAGTGAATAAGCCGGTCATAATGTCATAGAGCCTAAGTTATGTCTTAATATTGCATATTTAATCCAACTGAGAGTCAAAAAATCCAAAGATATTTATTTTACTATCATAGAAGACAAAGAAGAACATCACATGTTGATATTTGAGAGGCATTTTTGCTTGAAAGATGATAAAACAGTTAATGAATTATTAAAATAGTTGCTGAGTCATTTTCTGTAAATTGTGAAAAAAACTGTGTAATCATTTCAGCTTTAGCTCATTTGTGTATATACATGTATATCATAGCTGAATGTCACCAGAGAGCACTCTGAATGCTAACTGGCTATCCTTTTGGAGACAGAGAGAGTAGCCTTTGTAGGGCTTTCTCTACACACTCGGTCTGTTTCCATCTTCTCAGTGAGAGGGACACACACACACACACACACTGACCACCCTTTGCTCATCTCGTCTTCTCATCGCTGCGGACCAATCATATACATGTGACTCAGTGCCGTGCCTAAACCTGATCAAGCATTCAGATCTGGTTTAGCTGGCAGCTAAACGGTGGAGAGGAAACATAGGGAGTTTCATGGTTTTGCATAAAATTTAAAGGCTTAACTAATCAGCCTCTTTAACAAGTTAATTGAGACTCATTATGTCAATGAAGTATTCCCCATGTTGCCATAGAAACCATGAAGCAGGGTTTTGGCAGGGGTTCTCCCTGACCGCAGGACCAAATAAAGAAATACGTGAAGAGAGGACATGATGCTTTCCATAAAGTGATGGCAGGATGAGACATCTAGCCGACGAAGCTGTCTGCTGATTTCATGAGCAATGATTCAAAAACGCCCATGAGAATTTACATCTTTTTTTTTTCACTGTAAAGCATCATGCAGCACTATTTTGATGGATATAAAGGTTATTACTATATTTGGATTTTGAGAGTTAAGACACAAAAGGTAAAATGAACATGCTGTTTAACGGTGATAACATTTTAAATTGAAATGTCTTGTATCATATCTGACCTCTTGTGACCATGGCATCATGCAGTAGACAGCCTCTGTAGATGGAGTAGCCACTTCACCAATTGCACTAAGTAATCTCTGCTGCATCAGATTTCCTGCCCATGTCATGTAGGGGCCAGATTATGAGGCACGCCGAGGAGAAATTAAAAGCGCAGCACTGACACATCCTGATCTTCATTCTAGATAATCCACTGGTAATGTGAGGTGAGAGACACATTTTAAGGCTGTTAGCGTTGTTAAAATGGATTTCTGTTAATCTGACTTGTCATTGATCACTGTCAGTGACTCACTGTGGCAAGACAGACTGAAAGGGAACAAATATAAAGCTGGTACTTCACAAAACATGAATTATGTTAATGCACACTGCCTGGAACAGTAAAGAGATTATACTAAACCCGCATTAAGCCTGTGCCTCAAAACACACACAATTCATAAAAACAATACTGAAATGTATGTATCATGTGTGTTTGCACAGCTACCACGCACTTGTTTAAGAACAAATTCTCAGTCAAAGCTGAAATTCTTTTCTCTTTTGTGACGAGAACCTCTTCTTTAAAGCGTCTTTGTCACAGCTGGGAATTGGGCGTCTTGCTCACACAAAACACTAACTGGGGGGTGGAGAGTGGGATTGTGCGAAGGTCACAGGGTGCCCCTGTTTGGCCTCCGGTGACATCACGGAGCTGTATGCTAATAATGGAACCTGTGAATGCTAACGACGAAAACGCTGCCAGTCCTCAGGAGCTGAGAATGGATGTGAGACAAGAATGAAACCCCCTCTCCGTTTCCTCTCCCTCAGTGTCTCTCAGTGCCACTCTGTCCCTCACTTTAAATTACCATTACTGGGCTCTGGGCACAGAATCCTCTCTGCTCCACTTGTCAGATGTGGGACACTGAAGAGCCCTCTCTCATATCCAATCTCCGCTTCTCGCTCCCTAGAATTCTCACTTGTGCCAGCTTATTTACAGATCATCTTAGATCTCATTTGAACTGTTCTGGCCGTTCTGTCTTTGCCTTTATCCACACATCCTATCACGCCTGGGTCTCCTTTGTCTGTAAATCCACCATGGAGCTATACACAGTCTTTACGGAGCCAGCATGCTCACAAAAACGCCCTGTTTAAAAAAGCAGCATCAGATTCAGGTATTTGTAACACACAACACATACTAAGAGAGGTCTGATCCTTGCAATCATAATATGTCTGAGCCAGCAGAAAACGGCCCACAGGCTTAGAATTATGACTAAGACTGTGTGTGTTTGTGTGTGTGTGTGTGTGTGTCGAGGCAGTAAAGATGTATGTGTATGTTTCATCTGGAGCATCTCTGAAGGGCTGTGGCCTGACACGTGAGCACGTGGCTCTGCAAAACAACACACATTACTGAAACAATTACTGTGCTAACAGATAAATACACAGCAGACTTAGACAACATCCTCCCTCTGAGTTTAACATCTCCTCTTTTCTTTACATATTTGACAGCAACAGACCGCCAGTGGCAGTTACTTTGTAATGCAAACAGACAAAAAGCACTAATGAGTTATCTGTGCCCTGACAGTGTCTTACTTGTGTGGGCCATTTATAGGTCTTGAGCAGACAATTTTCCTCTGAGGGATCTCTCATCCAACACAGCTATGAAATCTTAGCAATGACAAATTCATTTTAACAACTATATATTAAAGTGAATGCCCAGGCCTCCATTATTTACAGTTCAGTTTAGTCAAAACATCACTTCTGCTCTTGGATGCTCAGTTGGCCTTAAGAGTGCTTCAGTACCAAACTGGATCCTATCTGTGCATGTGTATTTGAACCTAATTTGCCTGCTGGATGTTTCCCAAATTTGAAGAAATGTATACTAAAACGCTCCTATGCCTGTATAACTTTGGGCCAGAGCTAATATACTCTTAATGGATAAGCATCACCTTGGGGTTCAGTGCACTATGAGGTTTTAAAACTAGTTAAGCTACTTGTCAGCTGTGACTTCTTAATGACTTAGAACATCTGTGGATCAACATTTGGCACAGATGGCTGTACAAGCTCTTGTATTATAGAGCTGTGACACTTCATCGCACATAAAAAACATATGTGGTTAACTTGAAAAGCAGATTCTGACCTCAGATGTGATGAGAAAGGTTATAATTTGTGTGTAATTACTGGATCTCCGCTATGTTTCCCAGCCTCCTGCGAGGCTGCCCGCCTTAACAATAACCACCGCAGGACACAATAGAGGTTTAAAACCGCTCCGTGCTATTTGAATGTGTTAGGCTCTGGAGAACATGTTAGTCTGAACGGACAAGTGGTCTGCACATTGTCACCGCCTGGAAAAATCGATCAAATGATTTAAGGCTGTAATTAAAAGCCTTTCGCAGCCGCATGCCTGTGAGGCGAAAACCCCGAGGCTCAGCAGGTGTTTTGTTCTCTTTTGGCATCTGTGAATCTGTGTTGAAATGCGTTTGCGACTCGCAGCGCAACACTACATTGATTCTAAATATTGCAGCCTGGCGATATTAATTTCTATTTGGCTATCATCGTGCCTGAAGCCTTACCTTTCATCCAGTCAACCACTTGACTGGAGCTCCACTTGCTCACAGGCTCCATAACCAGTGCCATGGTAGAAGTTTGTCTTGGTCACGCTTGACAAAAGAAAAACACCCCCAACAAAAACACTGCCCACTCAAAAATGTCTTTTTTAAAAATGAAGAATTAAATCGGAAATTAAAAACAGAAAATAAAAGGGCTCTCTAGATTCTCCTCAGCTGGGTTTGGCTGTTTACAAACAAAACGAGGTAGGTCCAAAAGGTCCAAAATGTCGCTTTGACAAGGCTGAGTGCAGCCCAGCAGACTTATGCACATTCCTGTGCTGTTTGCTCGCTTGAAAGAGCTCTTTTACTTGTCATTCATGTCAGGCTCAGTGGCGGTGGTGCTGGTGGGTCGCTGCTGCCCGACCCCCCCTTTCAAAATATATCCCAGTACCATCCAGAGCAGAGGAGAACAACGCACAGACTGTCACTTCATACTGGTGTCTGGAAAGGTTGGGTTCGCTCTGAGCATCCTCCCTCATACACAGACATGCAGTCATAGCCCTCACCGTGCGAAGTATCTGTGTATGAGGGGTGGTTAGTGCCGCAAAGAGGCAGGAGGAGTCTGAGCAGTGTCTTAATGGGAATGAATGACATCCAGATTGCTGGATTTTGGTAAGAATAAGAGCTGAACAAAGCTTGGCTGAGTGGCAGCACATGTGCCCCTTTTGCACCAAAATTAGTATGTGCATGCAGGTTTTTCAACACAGGTAAACCCACTAAAAATAGGAGACTCCTTTCCCATTGTCAATAGACCAGAGCTGTGTACAGGGCTGCAGCAGACAAGCATGCATTTCTGTGTGAGTGTTTTTTGTTTTGGTTTTGTTTTTTTTTGCTGTGTCACGTTCAGTGTCAGGTTAGTAAACAACAGAAAGCACCATGGAGGCTCTCTTACTTATTCAGTCTTTCTTTCAAACTCGGTGCAGACTAATTTGGATCAACATTTGAGCACTGCTTGGATAGAGACAGATGGTATTTTGTGGTGGCACATCATTGCGTCTGGCCAGTTAAGGAGCCAAAAGTAGCACGTTTACCCAAGATGTGTTTCCATCAATGCCAATTAGAGCTGGAGCCAATAAATACCCATGACTACTGCAGAGTAATTTGACCCCGGTGTGAATGCTGTTTACACCCTTCCCATTACATTAAAAAGCCAGATGTTAGCAGGTGTTAGTGGGGTTTTGTGCAGTAGGAAAGAGGCTTTGCAGCTGAGGCATGAACAAGCAGAAGATGGGTAAGCACATACAAAGAACAGTGCCAACTGTTTTGTTTTTAAATACTACCTCAATTGGGGCGTCGGTGGCTTAGTGGTAGAGCAGGGGCCCCATATACAAGGCTGTTGCCGTAGCGGCCCGGGTTCGACTCCAGCCTGTGGCCCTTTGCTGCATGTCACTCCCTCTCTCTCCCCCCTTTAACACTTGTCTGTCCTGTCAAATAAAGGCTAAAAAATGCCCCAAAAAATATCTTTAAAAAAATAAAAAAACTACTTCAATTGAGATTTTTGGATCATTCAGTAGTTTCACCCAGTTCTCATTCCCAGAGCTTCAAATACCACCACGGTGTCACACCCCTTGGTGCGTGATATTGATTCCAGAGGCATTCTTTAGCATATTTACCAGACTCACCTGGTTTTAAACTGCCTGCAATGTAAACCCATGAGTGAGAAAGTTGGTGTAGGGTAGGAGGATGGGGAGGTGGATCGGTCAAACAAAACCGGACTTTAATCCAGGAGACCACAGCGCTGTGTGAAACCAAAGGTTGATGTTGTTTTAACGTTACTACAGTTATATATCTACGTTCCGTGTAAAACTGAAATTCAGTGTTGTTGTATTGTTGTCAGTGTTATGCAATTCATGTATAGTCACTGATGTCACTCACATGATGCATTTACATCAAGTTACGTTATGGAACAAACAGTTATTTTAACCTAAATCATGATCTTTTTTCTAAACTGACCAAGTTGTTATGTTGCCTAAACCTAACCATGACTGTTGACGACATTAACCACGTGTCACAAACTGTTTCAGCTGTGTGTGTGTATATATATATATATATATATATATATACAGTACAGGCCAAAAGTTTGGACACACCTTCTCATTCAATGCGTTTTCTTTATTTTCATGACTATTTACATTGTAGATTCTCACTGAAGGCATCAAAACTATGAATGAACACATGTGGAGTTATGTACTTAACAAAAAAAGGTGAAATAACTGAAAACATGTTTTATATTCTAGTTTCTTCAAAATAGCCACCCTTTGCTCTGATTACTGCTTTGCACACTCTTGGCATTCTCTCCATGAGCTTCAAGAGGTAGTCACCTGAAATGGTTTCCACTTCACAGGTGTGCCTTATCAGGGTTAATTAGTGGAATTTCTTGCTTTATCAATGGGGTTGGGACCATCAGTTGTGTTGTGCAGAAGTCAGGTTAATACACAGCCGACAGCCCTATTGGACAACTGTTAAAATTCATATTATGGCAAGAACCAATCAGCTAACTAAAGAAAAACGAGTGGCCATCATTACTTTAAGAAATGAAGGTCAGTCAGTCCGGAAAATTGCAAAAACTTTAAATGTGTCCCCAAGTGGAGTCGCAAAAACCATCAAGCGCTACAACGAAACTGGCACACATGAGGACCGACCCAGGAAAGGAAGACCAAGAGTCACCTCTGCTTCTGAGGATAAGTTCATCCGAGTCACCAGCCTCAGAAATCGCAAGTTAACAGCAGCTCAGATCAGAGACCAGATGAATGCCACACAGAGTTCTAGCAGCAGACCCATCTCTAGAACAACTGTTAAGAGGAGACTGCGCCAATCAGGCCTTCATGGTCAAATAGCTGCTAGGAAACCACTGCTAAGGAGAGGCAACAAGCAGAAGAGATTTGTTTGGGCCAAGAAACACAAGGAATGGACATTAGACCAGTGGAAATCTGTGCTTTGGTCTGATGAGTCCAAATTTGAGATCTTTGGTTCCAACCGCCGTGTCTTTGTGAGACGCAGAAAAGGTGAACGGATGGATTCCACATGCCTGGTTCCCACTGTGAAGCATGGAGGAGGAGGTGTGATGGTGTGGGGGTGTTTTGCTGGTGACACTGTTGGGGATTTATTCAAAATTGAAGGCACACTGAACCAGCATGGCTACCACAGCATCCTGCAGCGACATGCCATCCCATCCGGTTTGCGTTTAGTTGGACGATCATTTATTTTTCAACAGGACAATGACCCCAAACACACCTCCAGGCTGTGTAAGGGCTATTTGACCAAGAAGGAGAGTGATGGAGTGCTGCGGCAGATGACCTGGCCTCCACAGTCACCGGACCTGAACCCAATCGAGATGGTTTGGGGTGAGCTGGACCGCAGAGTGAAGGCAAAGGGGCCAACAAGTGCTAAACACCTCTGGGAACTCCTTCAAGACTGTTGGAAAACCATTTCAGGTGACTACCTCTTGAAGCTCATGGAGAGAATGCCAAGAGTGTGCAAAGCAGTAATCAGAGCAAAGGGTGGCTATTTTGAAGAAACTAGAATATAAAACATGTTTTCAGTTATTTCACCTTTTTTTGTTAAGTACATAACTCCACATGTGTTCATTCATAGTTTTGATGCCTTCAGTGAGAATCTACAATGTAAATAGTCATGAAAATAAAGAAAACGCATTGAATGAGAAGGTGTGTCCAAACTTTTGGCCTGTACTGTATATATATGCTACACAGTGCCCTGTGTGTCACCATCAGACACCCAGGGGTGTGACAATGTGTCAGCATTATTTTTGCTGGCCATCTAACCACTTGCCATGAAGTAGTGGTGATAATATACAATGGTGTTAATTGGTATACTTTTATATAATAGAAAAATCTTCACCACTGTTGATGCGATGCAAACAATCTCATGTCTCATCAAATACATAGTCACCAGTCCAGTAATGGAAATATAAAAAGTACCAGGGTCCGTTGTATGACAGACCGTCCATGGCCATCTTGGTGTGCATGCACTCATGGCTCTTAATTGGTCCAGTCTAAAATGTAGTTGAAGCAGAGCAGTTGATTTATGTCAAGTTAAGAGAACTCATGTCTATCATTGTTACAATCACATCTCCACATTTCCAGTAGGCTACTATGCCAGTTTGAGATTTGCTGCTGAGACTCAGGTCAATGTCACACTCAGTTATTTTGTTTCTTTGATAGTCTGGCAAAACATTACCAAACCAAATTGATAATGCAAGTGATTTTTGAATCCTTCGGTTTACTTTTGATCTTCAAGGGGCATTATCATCATCCTGCAGACCAAAATGCCTCTGGACGCAGTTGGATAGAACTACAACCAATCAGAGCAATGTGATGTAGCGCTGAGCAGCAGACAAAGGTAAACAGACTACAGCATGCAGAGATGAGCTGTGATGGTGTAGCATCAATATGTCTGTGAATGAGTGTTGCCGTTTTTGTCATCAGAATTTAACAATAGTTCATCAGCAGAAAGTTCCACACCAGCTGCAGCCATCTTGGTTGTTTTAGAAAATGCCTCAGTGGTGCTCCTCTTTACGTTAATGCTCACTGCAGTGTTCCCAGCATGAATGTGCATAAATCAAAAATGACAGCATCATGTACTTTGCATTAAGCACAAAGGCTCTGCATCGTCTGACCACAAACATTTTGTGATCAGCCTGACCCAGGCCAGGTCAGCTAGAAATCTGTATGAACGGAGGGGGGACCAGATGTATCAGAGCAAACGAAACATGAGCTTGTAGTTCCCAGGCTAGTGATAATCATGTTTGAAACCGTCATCCCATCTGCATAGGAAATTTGCATATAAAATTATGCAAAAAGCCACCGTGACTTTTTCATCACTAAACACAAAAACAGCTCATGTTTTACAGCTTCAAAATGGCTGATTTAGAGCATAACAGCAGTGTTCTTGTGCAAAACTGATGGTATTATCCAAGTTGTCCGTGACAGTATGTGTCTTTTAGGCAACTGTGTTCATGGGCCCGTTACCATTCCCCTCCATAAAGAAGCCCAAACCAAGCAGTAGGAGTTGCTAAAGCCATAAAGAGGATTAGATCCCTTGCTGGCTTCCCACAAGTGAACACTGTCAGTTGACAAAGCTGGAAGCATTGCAGGCACTGATTAGGCCCAGGACTGTGTAGGAGTTGATTAATGTTTTCAATAGTAGCTTCCCCATTTGGTTTTAATAATGGCACAAGCAATTGTACAAATTCAGCCTTGTTTCTGCACACATAAGCCCTTTTTAAACAGGAGTTGTGCAAATTTGCAGGAAAGCCCAATCAGTCTTTTTTCTGCATTGGCAGTATAAAAGCAAAATCGGGGAGTGCAGCAAAATGCCGCCTACCTAGTTTTGTTTATACAGAATGCCTTTTTCTGGGCAATGGGGGGGGCGTGAGCAGGTAACAAAACGTGTAGCTCAGCGTGTGATGTAAACAGTGACGTGGGAGG